AATAAATCATTTGTGAAAATTTGATGAACTTAGCTGAACTAGTTTTTGAGTTATCGCTGGAACGGACGGACGGACGGAAGGACAGACAAAGCTAAATCAACTCAGAATTCGACGCTGATCAAAAATATACACTTTAGTACACTCTTCAAACATACGTTCGTACGGGTATAAAAACCAAGATTTTTAAAAAAGGGGTAAAAAAATACAATACGTCTGATCATAAAATCACCCGCGACACAGCTGTTACACGATTAAACCAGACTTTCCCTTGAACTAAGTGATAAACAACTTTAAAAAAAAAAACCATTCTACTATATTATTTAAATTATTTTTATTCATATACTTCAATATATTAATTAATTGCATACTTTTGGGATAAGCAAAGGAAAAAAATTAAAAAAGAAACCTTAACATAATGGTTAAATTGCACGATTAAGTAAGTGAGTTAAGATAAATATTTATGAATTTCAATATGGCATCATGGCTTTCGCTTTTATAAAAATTTGGAAAATCTTGTAATTTTGGAAATATCAGTAACCGAAGATTCAAATTTTACGATTTTTACGAATTTACCTAGGTGCGATAACTTGAAATAAATTATTTATTAATGCCTAAAACTTGTTCCATTTGAAAAGTTTTAGATTCCTATAAGTTGTCGTCTATAGAAGAAAAATAATTGATGAAATTGGTTTAGGGTAACGGTTAATTTTAATGGCCATTTTACATTTATAATATTCAATTGTGCTGCGCGGCGGTAGGAAGAGTTTATCGGTACCTTTCTGGGTTTTCGGAATATAAAAAATACTTGTGGCCTCGTTACAATTAATACTCAAAAAATTAGTACTCTTGGGTCTTTTTATAACTTTAACTTCTGCTTATAACTTTAATTTCTACTAAAGATTTATTTGTGTAGTATGGACAAAGTGAATTTAAAAAGTACTTTTTTTAAATTTTTGGAAAAGTGCTAAAAACAATAAAATCAGTTTGTTCGTAAAAAATAAATATTATTGAAAAAATCATTACCGTCACTTTATTTCTATTTTATTGTCATTTTAAGAAACGAAAGTTAAATTTAATTTCTTTTCTTTTCTTTTAAATTTGCATAAGTAAACTAAGAAAATCATTACGACTTTCTATTACTAATATGCGAATATTGTATATAATACTTACTTATTACAAATATAAATAATAATATTTCTTCACAATTTTTTAAAATTATTTTAAATTTCGTTTTAATGATGGTAGTTACCGAAGTTAACAATAATGTGTACGCTTATTACTTATACGTCAATTCTATTGTGAGTATCGATTGCTGCATTCAAAATTTACTAGAATCTCTATTATAATTCATTTGATTAATAAAATATATTAGACGTCTACCAAAATGCAGATCTAATATTAATTCGACTCATTCAGCAATTCTGTCATTTATTAGAGATTAATTTCAATTTATGAAGATAATCGTTCCATTATTTTTCTTCCAATAAATTATTGTAAATTTTTGTAAAATAAAATTTTTTTAGTATTTTCTAGATCAAAATAAAAGTAAACTTATTTTCATAAATTTAGAGTAAAGAAACTATAATGCACACATACATTAGGTAATTGAAATTTAAAAAAAAAATATTAAATATACAATTAATTTATATTTTTAATAAATTTTCACTTATAATATTTAAATTTATCGTGATTGAAATTTTAACACCAAAGTGCAAATTTCTATTTATTTTTTAAAATCTATACTTGTATCTGAGATATTATTTTTCATTAAGAATAATAATTTATTATTATTATTGAAAGCTTTTAAATAAAATTATTTATAAATAGCTAGCTTATAATAGTTTTTAGATCTCACGCCATTCAAAATATTAAGTACGTCTACAATTGGGTATAAAATGAAATTTACCCAATTAATTATTAATTTTAAAATTAACTAATAATTTTCTATTCAGATTTACATATTTTTATTTATTTTAAAAAATTAATGATGTTTTAGTTTTCAAGAACTCATGCATTATTATTTTTCAATAATAAACACGTATACAATAATTCTCGACAAAATTAAATTTTCTTTACCCATATTTTCGTTATATAAGAGTATTATGTTCCAGAACGTTTATGGTTTCAAATTAAACTAGAATTAATAAAATTTCGCAATAACTTAAAAAATTTCTGATTTATAACATTATACAAGTATCGCGGCAGACCGAGGCGCTATGGCCCTTCCCACCTCGACCTTAGGTGATTCACTGTTCATTTACATGAGCATCTTTTCTAGGCCCTTGATGAATCTTAGTATTATGTCCGTTTAGGTATTCCCTTAAGTGGGCCACAACCTCACATTCGCACAGCAAATATTTTGTCGCTTCATTCTCTATACCAATCAGTTTTAAAAAGCAGCACTTTCCACTTTAATCATTCTTTTTAGGTGAACATAACGTTTAAGAAAATTGTGTTTCCGAAACTATAACTTATGTTCCAGAATATCAATTAAAAATAATTTTTAAGGTAATGAAAATTTAACAAATTGGCATCCTATTTACACACATTCAGATATTCACACATGCAAAGATCTCACATCGTATATAGTTAACATTGAGCTATAAATTTCCCTAATACGAGCTTAAAACTATGCTTATTTTCGATTTTCAGCTAAAACGCATACCTATTTTTAATTTAGATTTTAAATATCTATTATAAGGCATCAATAAGTTTAAAAATATTAAAAAAATGCTCTGAATAAGTCTATTGCCTATATAGCTGAATGATTTTATAATGAATGGTATATGCAAAATATACGGGTATCAACCATACAATTTGCTTACGAACTAAGCAATACAACGAAATATAGAATTTGTATACGTCCAGTACAAAAAAAATCACGGGATATAATGCAATCAATACTTGTTAATCAAATTGTTGGAACTACTCGTATAAGAAAAATGTATGGGAAACCAATTTGTCTCTCGTTTATTACCACATAGAATGTAGATTTATATATTTACTTACCCATATAAATTGAAATATTTCAAGTAATTAATTCATTAATTCTATATTAGAAATTAAAATAAAATTATATTATATGTACACATATACATACATACTCGTATATTAATGAATAAGCTTTTTATTGCAGAGATTTATACACTAAAAGTGCAATATACCAATCATCCTTGACCATAATTTTCTCATATGAATATTTTTTTTTGAATAAATCTTGTTTTATATTTTAATCTTTTGCACCGTTATACCTTAGAGAGGTTAATATATATATATATATATATATATATATATATATAGTTATATTGAATCATATTCAAATTAGTTATTTAAATATGTGTATTTGAAGACATACAAAACATATTTTTATTTATAATTATATTTAAAGTAATTAAGGTTAATTTGCTCACTGTATATATAGTATATATAGTGTTTTGACTTTTGACATTATGCTTTATATATGTACATCTTCATATACATATTCATTTTATAAGTGAATAGCAAATTGTATATACAAGATTTTTAACATAATCTCAAAAGAATTCAATAATATTATATATTATAATTGCACCAACTCTTGAAATTTTTAATCCCTAGCTCTTAAAAATGATTCCCTGAACAGCATTACATTAGAAATAAAGTGACCACTCTAAAAATTAGAACTCTTTTAATTTGCAAAAACGATTCGAACAAAATTCAAATGCAAAATTATTAATTTAATTTTTAACTCGTTTATTTTAAAAAAAACACTGGGGTTTATTGTGATTATGCACCTTTAAGTAATAATGATACTTATCTTTAGTAAAGTTTCTAAAGCTTTATTATAGACACGAATCATTTGTATTACTTGCTTTGTATTCACATTAATAATATCGAACTTTTTACGATATTTATCATTATCACTTAGTGATTCGATTCTGAGATTAAACCCCATTCTTATAAACAGAAAATCTTAACGGGGAAATGTTCTTTTAATCTTAACTGGAAATGTTTGACAAACAATTGTATAATTGAAGCATAAGTCAATCAAATTTCGTTCCATTGAGTTTTTTTTCCAGTCTAAAACGCAGACTTAATTGCAAACTGAATTTTAATTTTGCAAACTGAAAACTCGGAAAATATATTCGGGAATATTTCAAAATATAAGTATGCACATGTACTAGATTGCCAAATTTATATAGAATTTCCAGATTTTTGGACTTTTGAGAAGATTTTTGACAGATGAAAATTTTTTTTTTATAATTCCAATTATATACTCGTACAAGTTGAAAATTAGATAACAATTAATGTACTTATATATTAGCTTTAATTTCTCAGATTTTGCCAAATTTTTCGCAAGGATAATGAAGATTTTCAGTCAATCTCGTCTAGCATCAATGATGTACATAGATAATATATGATATTGTAATTTCTCAAATGAATTTAAAGGCATGGACAAAGTTAATATGGTATAGAAGAGAACTGAAATCTTCCTAATCGGAATATACTTACATGTCTATATATTTAGATCACATAAGCCGACTAAAGTTAATTGACATTATTCTTACATGCCGATTATATACCAAATTCTGAAAATTATATTTTAATATTTAAATTCATTCATTCTTATTATTATTATGAATGAATACTTTAAATAATTTGTATTCACTGCAAGTTTTGTTATTAAAAGATTTTATGGTATAATAGGTATAAAAAAAAAATTAAATCTGAAATGATGAAAGTTAAATATTAGTCACACGTTGCTATAGAAAACTTGAAAGTTAATAGTTGACGTAATCATAAGTTTCTAAGGTACAAATAAATCTCTCATCATTTGAATTTCAATTCATTTAAATACGAAAATATTGCAATTCATATTTAAAATTTTAATAAGTAAAAAAAAAAATATTTTTAATTTTCAATTAAAGTTTGCTTTAAAATTTGATGATTCATAATTAAAGTTTTCTGATAAATTCCCATATACCAATTAATTATTAATAATTTTAATTTTTCTTTTACAGATGGGAAACGTTTTGTGCAAAAATCGTGCAAATCGATCTGGTAATAATAACACATCTAATGGAAAAAATCCTGTTGATCGGGTTATTGGAGAATGTATGCAGGTATGCATGTAGTTTTTCGGTAATTAGCACAAAAAAAAACAAAAGAGTTCTTCATCATATTATATAAAGCTTATTTATAACAAGAATATTAAAGAGAAATGGTAGATCTTGGAGATTAGTACATTATGTGTATGTTCGTATATAATTCGGTTTGAGTTCGTACTACCGACCATCTAATGTTTATAAAGAATATCATTAAGAAATACTTGAGGACATAATGCAAACTTCGAAATCATATTTTTGTTAAATTTTAAATTTATCATTCTTTTCTATAATAAAAATAAAACTACTGTTATTCTGGCCCACTTGAATATTAAAAACAGTGGTTTGAAGGGAGGGGCGGGGGGGGGGGGGGGGGGGGGGTGAAGATACACTATATTTAAAAAAAAAAACAATTATTTTATTTTTATAATTAAATTGTTTTTCAAAAAATTCATTCAGTCATTTATTTCACAAACGTTAACAGCTACATCAAAAAATGTTATTGAAAATTATTATTATACCGAAAAAAATACCGTGATTAAAAAATTTTTAAAAATTAATTTTTTTAAATAGTGGCAATGTTTGCCGCAAAAGTACCTTGAAGATCGTTATGTACTTGTTAAATATAATCTGCTTAATCTAATTCCATATTTTAATCGCCTTTTCATAGCGTATATCTAAAAGTTCCGATATATACTTAACATAGTCAAAGTTTTGGCCAACTTTCAAAAAAGTCAGTCAAAAAGAAAAAGAATTTTACTTCTAAAAACCCGTTTCTACTAAAGCAGTTGCGATAGAGATCAATGCACCGTCGCAAAGAACAACTTGCATATACTTAAGCTATTTATTCTAACAAAATCTTGTATATACAGTTCTCCCCGGTTAAATGCACCACGCTTAATTGATTTTCCCCTTTTATTGAACGAAAAACTAAGGCAACTTTAAATCCCTATTAAAATATACATGAATAACATCGTTTAATTGAGTCCCGTTTAATTGAACAACTCGCTTAAATGAATCTCTTTTTTTGGTATTACCTTATAAAAACTGTGAAAAATTCCCCTGTTTATTGACCTGTTTATTCTATTTGTTGTTGTTAAACTAGCAATAGTAAATTTATTGAAAAATTAGATATAACGTATGAAATATTTTGTTTTCTTTGTAATATGAAATATTTATTTTTAATTTTTGTTATGTTATGTGATATAAAAATATTATGGTTTACATATTTTGAATTTGAATTCACAGTTACATTACTTAGATGGATTTAAAATGATGAAAAATTTAAGTTTTAAAATTTTGAAATAAAGAAAAATTTAAGTTTTTAAATTTTGAAATAAAAAAAAATTTGAGTTTTAGTATTTCATTAGTGTATCCCCTATTTTAAATATAGCTTTTTACCTAGGATATTTTGATAAGTATATGTAATAGGATATGCTTCCTATTGTTTTTATTAATTTTATGCAGTAGCAGGATCAAATTCGTTTTTGCGCCTGATCTTCAATAGCGAGTATTCGTTTTCATGCGTAAACGATTCAGTTAAAAAAATTCGTTTTATTGCACCAATTGTTCAATTAAACGGGATTTTTTTAATTGATTTACCCGCTTAATTGATACAAAAAGTGTGCAACTTTTCTCGGTTCAATTAACCGGGGAGAACTGTACATGTTTCTTAAACGAATTTGTTTAAAATATTTACATACATACATATGTATGTTTTTATCACAAAAAGTGTAAAAATTTTGTAAGCAAACACACACGAAAAGAAAGAGGTATGGGCAAAATAAAATTATTGAGTGCATGTTTTTCCAATATAACAAATTATTTCATAAACAATCCAGACTTATAATTCCTTTACATTAGTAACAATATAAATCGCATAAAATACAGCGGATTTAATTCTCAGCCTTCTTAAACTAATATGGTGTGAAAACAAAATTTTGGTTTTAACATTAAGATGTTTAAGTATAATTTAGAAACCGGCTATTCTCGACTTTTCTTAAGTATTAATTTGAAAGTACATTTTGATCTCACTATTTTGCAAATTTACGGTGTAAGCCATTTCTTAAGAATATATTTTATTGTAGTACATGGTTTTTTTTAACTAAAAATTTGTTAAAACTTAAACTTTTACACTGTTTAATACTTAAAATTTGAGTAGGTCAATTTGGTCACATTATTGTGGGAGTATTCATTTAAAAAATATATTTTTCTTATAATATTTATTCAAATTCAGAATATTATAAATCAAAAATAAATATGATGCCTACGTATAAAATTTATGTACAATATAAAAACGCTTTAAAATATTTTTTATACGGCGTAAAATCTAGAAATATAAACCTCTTTTTTTTTATTTTTTTTTTTTAATTATACATAAGTATATACTTATTCATAATACAACACAAATACTCGCATATATACATAACAAATATTTACTTGAAAATTTTAATTTTCCATTTACAGATTTGTCCAAATGGAATCAGAAAGAAGAAGCATTTTTGGGAAAAGCAAGTGTAAGTATATTAAACGTATGTACATATACGATTATATAAAAATATACAAATATTGTATTTGGAAATAAATTTACATTAAACACATATAGTAAGGTAAAGTAATGATTCACTTAAAAAAAAAAAGCATAACATAAACCATTTAAAAACGACTTACTAAAACACTTAAGTTGAGTAAAAAAAAAAAACTTTTACTTTTAAAACTTTGTAACCTACCCATAACACATGGGTAAGCTAAAATTTCTAAATAAATAAAATTCATATAGCAATATATGTATATGTAATTATGTTATACCTTTAATGACTTGAAAACAAGCTACACATTCATATTCCTATATATACATATATATGATAAAAATTAAATTAAATTAGGTGTGAAATTAAGATAACAAGATCTTCTTCTTAATACTCATTAAATTAAGCTGTTTCACCTAAAGTAAAAATAATAATTATTTACATAATTTCCATATATACATATATATATATACTGAAAATGGAATATATACCATAAGTATGTACAGAAATAAATATAAAATAAAAATTTAGTTACTATATATGTGTACATATAAATATACTACTGTATGTACCTATTTATTGTACATGTTCATACATACATAATTAATTTGCTGTACAAGCTGGACTAGGAATAGCAAATATATTACAAGGGGAGTTTTCGTTGGTTGAACCAAAAATTCGAATTTATTTTAGGAATCGATTCCGGATGCTATTAGAGGATTATCAGGCTTTCAAAATATTTTAAACGCTTACATGAGTATAGTGATCTTCAGCTTTACAATTAATTACAATTACAACTAATTTATTTGAAAAATAATTCCAGGCTTTGATACAAATAAAATTTTTCTCTCTATATAGAATCCTGAATGTTAAAGGTCTAGAATGGGAAAATAAAAATGTTTTTTTAATTTTTTCAAATTAACCCATTTTGTCAGCAATATAAAATCTGTGTAAATAAATTTTTGTAACTAAATAATTAAAACAATTCTATTATTCTATTAATAAATTAATAAAACGTCAAAATTTTCTCTTCTCAGCGTTTCCCATCTATCTTGAAGAGAAATTTCAAAATTGAGTTTTATTTTTCAAATCGTCAAATTTTAATCTAAAATTCCAAACGTATTTTGGAACGAATCGCGTTTGACATAATGCACGTTTGGATCATTAGTTCACGTTCGGTCAGATTAATGCACTTGTAATTTTTCAACTGAAAAAAAATCTTTTCTTGCTCAAAATGGTTTATTTTATCTTTATTTTATAATTAAAAATATTTTGTATTTTTGTTTTTTTTTTTGTAAAAACTTTGATTAATTTGTACTTTTTTTTATAGATTTGAAACAGCACCACCATCCGAACCATTACAAGAACAACCAAAATCTCAACAAAAAAATGGTTGGCAAAATGCAAGTTTAACAGTTCCAGATCATCCAGTTGCTCCACCAAGAAAGAAAAGAACATTACAAAGGAATACTGATCCATCTGAAAAAAATGCTTTTGAAGAAATTAATTTGAATGGAGAAATACCAGAAAAATATAACGAAAGGTCTGTTGATCGAGAAGAATACAACGAAAGATCTGTGGATCCACCAGAACCATTAACAACAACGACATCAACTAACGTTAAAACTAATCAATTGAGTCTAACTAATAGTACTAAAAATGATGTGCCACAAAAAGTAACAAGAACAGTATCAAAAGTCGGTAATAAAAAGTCTGACAAATTTTTTGGTGAAAGTTTATCAGATTTATCGAATGATTACGAAAATGATAAAAAATTGGAAACAACAACAACTACTACAACAACAGTAACAAAAACTGAATCGACAAAAAATGACAATGATCAAATTCAAAAATCTGAAAGTCAAAATAAAAAAATTGAAGAAAATTTTACTAAAAATAAAAATAATGAGGAAATTAAATTAAAAACACAAAATTCAACTGATAAAATTGTTCAAGAAAAAGATTCAATTTCTGCTGAATTAGCTAGAGAATCAGTTATAGATTTAGTTGAAGATATAGAAGAAGAATTAAATAGAAAAATTACTAAAGAGCGTGGAAATTTATTGTTTGCAATTGAAAAACATTTAAAAGAAGAAAAACCAACAGAAGATGACTTAGAACGTTTTAAAGATGAAAAACCGTGTGTCGAAGAAGTCATTGTACCAGTAAGACGTTTAGTTAAACGTCATATATGTGACGATGATGATAAAATTAAGGAGTTTATTGGAGATAATCCAACAAGAAAACAACAATCTCAATCACAACTCGAAAATGATATTGAGAATCAAAAAAATTCATTAGATCCAAATGCACCTAAGAAACCACAAAGGGATTTTGCTAAATATAGAAAATCATTAAATGGTGATGAATTCGATATTAGTCAAATTATTGAAGCAGTTAATCTAAATGAAGAAGATAAATCAAAAGAAAAGAAAATAGAAAGTTCAACTCAAACTACTGGTAAAATAGCAGTTCGTGAAAAAGCTCATCATGCAAAACAAGAAGCTGAAAATATTTCTAAAAATGTTAAATTATTATTGGATAATTCCATTAATAAAGAACAAATAAATAGTCATAATAAAATAACACAAGAAACATCTAAATCACCAATTCCAATTGTAGAAAAAACATCATCCACAAATGTTAAAGCTGAAATGAAAAATTTCTTAGATAATATTGGTAAACTTAAAGCTGAAATTAATAAAAATGCAGAAAAACAAAATGATGAAATTGAAAATGTGGCAAAAGATTTAGTAGATAATGTACTTGATACAGCACAAGATTGTATTAAATCGGGTAAACTACAATCAGAATTCAATTCATCTGATAATGTAGAAGATACTGTAAAAATAAAAAATCAAAAGAATGAACTTTATAAATTAAATGATAAAATACAAAATAAAGAAAAAATTGAAACCAACAATAGTCAGAATGTTAAATTTGAAATTGAACCACAAACAAAAATGGAAGAAGTTGTTAAAAAAGGTAAATCAAAAATTATAAATTTTAAATTTATAAAACAAAAAAAAATTTTTTTTTTAAATTTTATATTTTTAAATACAGAATTCTCCGTCAATAACGCAAATGTATAACTAAATTCAGATGGTGAAAAGTATGTGTGTGTTAAATTGTGGAACCTCTTACATATCAACGCTAATATTCTTCAAGTTTTTTTTCCTTCTTTTTAAACAAAAAAAAAAAATTTTTTATATAAAATTTTCTAAATGTTTTCATTTTAACATTTTCATTCATTTAATGACATTTTAATGCAATAATTTAATTTTAATATTATCCTTTATGTATCCTTTTCTAAATTTATTTTTTTTTTCTTCTTGTATGTTATTTTTGGAAAAATGTTATTCTGGCTTTGTATATAAAAACTGTTCTACTATATATTTTTCATATAAACTGCTTTATATTGTATATATATTTTGTATGTGAGCTATTTTAAATAATTTTCATATTATATTTTGTTCTGAAATGCATTCCGAAGCTATCTTTCATGCAGTCCAACTCTGCAATTCACTATGTGTTTAGCCTCCTGTATTTGTATATAATATTATTGAATAAATCTATTTTATACAAGATCAGATTTTGGTACTTGTCTTGGGACAAAGGTTGCTAAAAAAAAATATTTTAATAATACAAAAAAAAAAAAGCTTGAGTCTTTTAAATGTTAATGTATTGACGTACTTACCTATCTTCTATGGATATACTCTAACAAAATAATAAATTCTAGATAGTTTTTTAATTAAATATGCAAATTAAAGAAAAAGGTGGACAAAACCAACTTCAAAAATTTATTTAGCTTCTTCTTTTTAAAAATATTTTATATAAAGAGAACAAACCTATTTAAAAAATGCCCAAAATATTTGAAGTCGTTGACAAATTCTTTAATGGTTATAACCCAAAACCGTTTTACCGAGTATTTAAAATTAAATTTGGGTTCTTTGATATTTTAAAAATTTATTATCATATCAAAATAAAATTAAAGTTTTCAAAAATTATTCATTAATTAAGGTAGTTCAAAATACTTTCAGTAAATTGTATAACAATTATTAAAATAATTTTGACGCTCCAATTATACAAGAATCAAAATATTTGTAGTCAAGTGAATTTTATTTATAAATTAACATTTACGCGCAATACAAAAAGTACGCATATTACAAAATTTATTTTTCTACGATTTTGATTAGCGTAAACCCCGTTTAATAACCTTTGATTCAATAACCGTTTTAATAAGTTATCCGTTTTAATATGTAATGTTAAAATATCGTCGGCATAAACATTAGCTAATGATTAATAAAAATCCAACGATTTACACTCATGGTAAATAATTGTAAAATGAACGAGGTCAACACAAGCAAAAATATTGTATTTAATCGTTCACTATTAACTAAGAAAAGCTAAATATAATAAAAACCTAAATGTAATCAAATTTTTTCGTATGTACGGTATATACCTACATACTTTGAAATATTGATTTCGTTCAATTAATTCACATATAACATAATCTTAACTTAAAAATCTTTCTTGGACTACAAAACAATAAATTTTCGCAGCTTAATTAATAACTAAAAAGGCTATAATAACTTTTTCAAGTAAAACAAAAAAAGGTGGCTTATTAATATTATTTAAAATCGAAAAAGAAACTGCAAATCTTCCTTTGAAAATAATCCAGATAATAGTATATGCTTATATTTAATAATCCTTTTTACAATGACATTAGGTTTAGTTTTCGTAATATGCCAGAATTATTTTTTAATTAATATTTAAAAATTTAATCAATCAATTCTACATTATGCAAAAACAATTTTTTTCAACAAATTGGACACATTTTGTTAGATAGATACACATATCATATTTCATAAAACATTTTATATACCTTTCGTGAGCCACCATCAATTGGAATACTTTAATTAAAAAAAATCTCCATTTAAATTTTATTTTTACGAGAGAACATTCATTTAGTAATTGAAGATGCGTTAGTAAGTGATCTTACATATCATGACATTACCTATAGATTCATAACTTCAAACATTGTACATAATTTCATGTTTTATTTTTAGATTATCTTCAAGAAATCATTACTGCTCCAATTCTAAAATTATCCGATAAAACAACAGCTGCATTAAAAGAAGCCCAGGCTTTAAAAGAAGAACTCAATTCCTCAATGCTAATTGAATCAAACATTTTAAAACATACTGATAAACCTTCCAACATTTTATCTGAAAATTTAGAAAATGATACATCAGAAGTTCGGAACGAAGTACAATATATAGAAGATGAAAAAAATCATGAAAAACATTTAAAAAAAGAAAAATCTGTTGAAGATTGTATAGATTGTATGAAAAATGATGCTTCGGAAATTATCAAAGAAGTTGTGGAATATGCTGAGCAAGTGGTTAACGATCCAAATATTCTAAAAGAAAATATAAAAAATAATTTTTCAACAGAAAACGCAACAAACAGAAATTTAGATGAAAATGAAAAAATTAAAAAATTGATGAAAAAGCCTTCAATAACTTTATTTGAAGAAAACGGTACAGAAAATTTTATTATCGAATTGAAAAAAGAAGCAACTCAAACGGTCAAAGATGTATGTGAATATGCGCAAAAGACAATTAATAAGAATTCAGATGAACCATTTCAATTAGCTCCAAAAAATGATAAAAATATAAATGGAGTTAATCTGGAAACTGAAGAAATTTCACGAGAATTCGAAACTAATTTATCAGCAATAAAAACTCCTCAAAAGAATAGTTTAAATATTCGACCAAATAGAATTTCAGAAATAACACCTCCAACTCAACTACAACAACATGTATATAGACGAGCGTTTAGTACTCAATCGGTTGAAAATGATGCAGAAGAAAATCAAGAATCAAATAATGATAAAGTTTTTAATGAAATATTTTCAGCAGTTCAAGTTGCCCAAGAAAAATCAAAATCAACGGATAACATATTAGAAAACGATAAAATAAATCATGGACTACCCCCAAGGCCATCCAGAAACTCTGAAATCAATAAACCAAGTTTAATAAACTCTGAAAAAATTTTACGTCGCTGCTTAAGCACTCAATCATATCTAACCCCCAACTTAATTGAAAAAATTGCATTACAAGCTAATATTTTATCGATGCCAGACCCAGAAGATATGGGAACAAACGATGGAAGCTCTTTGGTTTCACCAAATTATCGTCTTGATTCAAAAAGGTCTGTTATAAATTCACAATCATCTTTGAACAGTGAAAAGTCAACTGATTCTGATATAAAAAATATGAAAAGTACTCCTGTTCCACCATTGCCACCGAAAAAACCAGTTAAAGAAGAAATTAATAGAGTAATGAATGAGGAAAACAAATTTTTAATTGCACCACAAATTAATCAAAAAAGTACTAAAATGGAAATATCAACATTACCTTTACAAACAAAGGAACAAAAAATCACTGCTCCTGCAATTGTTGTAAGATCACCAATAACAACAAGATCACCTAGTCCAGCAAGGCCATCAAGAATTCCTGAATTGCCAAAAAGTAAATTAACTAAGAGATTAAGTCGTTCCACATCAAAGCAATCTAATCCAGATTTAACAGACATTAAAAAATCTCAAGAGTTATCTGAAACCTTGAAAAAATTTTTAAATGAAAAAGATTTAAAACCACAAGAAATTTTAGATTTAATTGAATTTGAATTTGGTGACGATATGTTTTTTGAACTTCTATCAGACAATGATAAGAAAATTATTAACGAACTTAAAAAATCGGTTCAAAAACAACAAATACAAAAATCGTCACCACCACCTTCATATAATGCTAAACCACCGCAAAAATCACCCCCATCAAGATCTGCCTCACGAGAACAACTTATTAGACAAAACTCTCAAAGTAGTGATTCATCATCTTCAAAAAAATCACCAGATCGTTTAAAATCATCAAGAATCCCAATTCTTAAAAATAATAAAATAAATGAATTACAAAATAATAATTCAGAATTTCGTCGCCATAGTATTGATGATTTAGATTCATGGTTTAATCCAATAAAAAATAATTTATCTCGAAAACGTGATAATAGTTTGCAATATGATTACAATTTCGATGAAAATTCAATGAACTCTTCGTTAACTGAACAAAATATTGCCATAAAACAATTTTTAGATAAAAAAACTAAATCTTCTAATGATTTAAGCAAATCTTCAATTCCATATAAAATGACCGCGATAAATTTTGACCAGCCTCAACAAAATGAACAATTTATTGAACAGAATGATCATTCCGCTTTATTAAAATATTTAGAAAATAAAAACTAGAATTAATTATATTAATTTTAATAATTGTTTGCAAAAAAAAAAAAAAAACACTATAATAATGTTAATAAGAAATATTAAAATTTTTTTTTTTATGTAAAAATGTTAAATTTGTTACATAATATATAACTAAAATACTTAATAAAAACGTAATTATATAGAATAAAATTATTTTAGAAACATATATCTACATGGTATATAAAATGTAGGAAAATATATGTAAGAGTTTTGTTAAATTAATTAAAATTGTTAAATTTAGTAAAATAATCTTTAATTTCAAGGTGCTTAAATATCCATACAAAAATATACATATACAATATATTTATACTTTACAAAAAAAAAAATTTGCTTTTTAATTTAGATAAAAGCACTCAGTTTCCACTCTAATTAAAAGATGAATTGTGTAGAAAACAATATTAGTGTATTGTGATCTAGAAATGATATGTAAATGTTATTTAAGAAAACAAAATTGGCATTGAGCAAATTCTTTGTTAATTTATGAATGATTAGTAAAACCTAATTAATCATAACCAAAATTGCAATAATCAGTTTTAGTCACTGGTTTGATAATTATCACTTATGATACTGCGATTTTGAAGTGAATTCAATTTTTAACTCTTAATATAATCTTAGCAAACTATAAAAACTTTGTAACGAATTTGCAATCACATATTGAGCCAATTAAGTTGACTAACAAAACATATCGGAAAAAGATTTTTAAAAAATTTTACAAAGTTTGTATGTATTACATAAAATTAAATGGAAAAAACACAATTAGACTGTTCAAAAAGAGGAAAACACAAATTTCTTGCACATTTCATCTTTTTTAATTACTTTTTTTTGGTCAGGGAACTCATCAGTGGATGATACACCCATAACCCCCATATTGAGCCAGAAAACCCCCAAGAAATTGAGCCAAGTTGCAATACTTATAAATAAAAAAAAAAAACTTTTTTTTGTAAGATCTATAAAATATTATTTCAAAAGTTATAAAGAAAAATACGCGTAATAAGCAAAAAAATTAATTCTTTATGTCTTCTTACTTTTCTCAGTTCTCAGTATTTTTTTTTTAATTTATCCATTACGAATATGGGAAAAAATAGTAGAGCAACTAACTTGTTTTGAGTCAATGAGTCATTGAAAGATTGTAAATTAAATTTAAGCAAAAACTTTAAATATTTTTATACATAAAAACGAATGGTAAGAAATATGAGTTTGAAAATAAAAATAATTATTAATATTTTGCATTTGTTTACTTATGAAGATTAAGTTTATTAAAAAAATTATATTATTATAATTTGTTTTCAATGGAAAATAAAAATGTAAACAATTGGTTTTACTTTTTAATTTGTTTAACTAGCGCTAACATACATTGGTAAAGTAAAAAGTTTCTTAATTAAATCACGATCAAATTAATTTCTTGTTTATCTATAATTTTCCGTATAATAACCTCTATACAATTTGAAAACGTTTAAAATACACACATGTAACTTTTTTGTCCTAGTCTCGGGTTAACTTTAGCACTAATTCATTTATTTTTAATTTCATTTGTTTAACGCCACCATCCTTCGCCTGCATTTTCATAATTTTGTCCGTTTTCACGTTCACGATCTCTTTCAATTTCAGTTGGTCTATATTTTTCTTCATCTTCATTTTCATATTTGATAGAAGTTTGTTGATAATTAATTTGCGCCGAATAATCAGGATAATCTAAAAATATATTAAAATTTGAAAAATATAGTAATGTTAGATAATACGATATAATAAGATTATAAATCTTTCAATTAACAAATTTAATTGAGAAAATTAAATGTTTGAGTTGTATACTACCACATAAAAGGTATTTGTAAATAGTGGTCCTGTGAACTCTATTTAAAAATAAATGATATAGCGATTTCTTTTTAATAAAATTTGAATAAAATTTTGCTTCAAACTATACAGAAATTGTATATAACATGTAACTTATATATTTTTAAAAAATCTATCGCATTTTAAAATAGTATTTAAAAAAAATTAAAAATTACATACCGTCAATTGGTTCTTCTTTAATTTTAATATCACCCTCACGGAATTCTGGTTTTCTTTCTTTCTTTTCCCGATCTCTGTCTCCACGATCTCTATCACGTTTTTCACGTTTCTTTTCAGAACGGTCGCGATCTCTATCGCGATCTCTCTCACGTGATTTAGAACGTTTCTTTTTCTTGTCCTTTTCTCTTTCACGTTCTCGTCTTTCTCTCCTTTCATAGTCTTCATCCCGATCTCTGCTTCTTCGTTTTATTCTTCTCTCTCTTGATCTACTTCGATGACGAGATCTTTCACGTTCTCTTCGATCAATTCTATCCCTGGATCTTGATCTACGCCGTTCAAATCCTTATGAAGGCATGAATGAAATAAAAAATATAAGATGACTATATTTAAAAAAAATATTCATAAACACTTACTGTCACGATCTCTCTCTCTTCTATCTTCCCGTTCTCTTTCGAGGCGATATCTTTCACGTTCCCTTTCGTTGTCTTCTCTACCAGAGTGTTTAATATTCACGTCAGCACCACCTCTACGTGTACCACCAAGTCCACCACCTAAATTAATAAAACATGTTTTTAAAAATGTTAATGTATTATTACGTATGCATGTTCGTTTACCTAATCTGCGAGGGAGCCAACCTTTAACTGTACGAGCTCTTTCAACATCAACCAAAACACGTTTACCATCAATTTTTTTGCCATCTGCATGTTTATAAGCAGCTGAAAAATTATACATAAAAATCAAGCATAATTAAAATATATTGACTATTTTGTCTATTAATAATATAACCGACAGAATAATTTTTATGGAAGAGCAAATAGCAATCAAAATTTTGAGTCTCATAATTCAAATCTTTTCAAGATTTCTTGGCAGTGAGATTCAAAAAAAAAAATTGTTTTGTTATGACAGCTTATCTAGAATCACTAAAATTTTTTTTAGTAAATTTTAAATAAAAAGGTATTACACTGGAAAATCCAAAAAGCTCGATGTATTATTAAGTTAAATAAGAAAACAGAGCTCTTCAAGTATTATGTGACATGAATACATGATTAAGTAAAATACATAATTGTATTGGAAATAAATATTCTCATTGAATTCTCACATATAAAGTAACGTTCATACATTGGGATATCTTCATAAATAAATTTTTTCATTTGATTGCTATTATTTTTAAAAATAAAAGAAATCCTATGGATTCAAAAACAAAAGGAAAATTGCTATTTCACATTCCAGTAAGCCCACTACTGTAGTAACTTCTTCCGAACCGATATTTTAACAAAAAAAAGATTGTTTGTATTAAAAATATAAAAATATACCTACGCTTTCACCAATTCAATGGCAGTTTAAAAAAAGAAAACATTATACCTACCCCGATCTTACTTACGGGAGAAGGCACTGACAACAATGTTTAAAAATTGAACTTATTTTGTTATATGTATATTTTCCTCCAATTAGTTAAGTGAAGGGAAGCCAAAATTTTATATTAAATTTTTATGTACATTTTCACATTGAAACTCTTTCAGGACATTACCTGGTGCGCTTTAATACTTACGTATATGCGCAAAAAATACCATTATTTACAAAATAAGTAACCAAAAAAATATATTATATATTCTTTTAAATTAAACTTACAGAATACCTTCAAATACCTTTTCGATTCCATTAGATTTTTATAATTAATAGCTATTACATATTTCAAATATGAATCAATTAAATTTTACCCTTTTCATCGAAATTTTATTTCAAAATTACCAAATATTATATTATGTTAAATTAAAACCTCAGAGGGTCGAAAATATTGTATTATTACCATTTATACTTATGTACCCGCAATCAAGTTTTTCATTAAATACCACTTCTACTTAATAAACATATAAAGTTTAAAACCTAATGTTATTAATATTTTATGTAAGTATAACCACTTGTATGTATGGTGTTTCTTACCAAACACATACAAACCTATTGAACCTTTTTCAACTGAATTACCCTTTTCAATAATTTTTATATACCTATTTACTTTTATAGCAAAACATCTGGGATTTTAATGATTTTGATACTATTTAGAAGCAACAACAGTTGATTTTTTGGCAGGTTTATCATTCAGTTGTGGCAAAATACTGTATTGGAACAAGAACAGAAACGCGAATTAGTGTAATATAAAGTACCAATATTAAATTAACTTATAATTTTTTAATTTCAACTTAATTAAAATAAAATGTTACTTTAATTTTAAACAAAATCTGAAAAATACAAAGTTACGTTGTACCATTTATTTAATAAAATTGTTCAAGGATTGTTTGAATATGTATGTATATGTAATTGCAATTTAATATTTAATCATTTTTACGTTTGATTTATAAAATATATGTAGCACGTAATAACAAAAAAACTAAAATTTCTTAAAATAAAATTCCTACTTGAACAATTTTATTATGAATTCTCAAACATTCTTGAACATAGATCAGATTTTGCTCTTAAATTATTAATACTTACAATGCATGTCCCTTTCATGTTCATATTCGATAAAAGCGTAACCTCTTGGTTTTCCAGTTTCAGAATTTTGAATCATAATAATCTAAAAGTTACAAAAAAAAAATAAAAAGACCACGATCACGATCGAATAATTCAACTGCAACATATTTTGTATTTTTCAAGTGAAAGTAAGTACAAATCATATAGCGAAGAAAATTATTGAACATTATGAACTTTTCAAAAATATGCTTGCTTACCTTTTTAATAGGTCCATATACTTCGAATTCACGACGTAATTTTGATTCAGATGTGTCATAATTCTGCAAAATAACGAAACATAGAACAAAAAAAAAGTAAGCCATTTTGATACACGACCGGTTTCCATTTAAAAAGACTTACAATTCTAGCAACAAATAAGGTTTTAAAAGGATCTTCTGTTGCTTCTCCAACTTGATTTGGATCCCACATTGCAATTTCTCGTTCAAGCTTATATGCTACCTGTTCGGCTTTTTCTCTACGCCTCCTTTCCAAACGCTCTTCTCGAGTTTCGACCCTCGTCGGAGGAGGGGTATCTTTGGGATCCTAAATTTTCATTTAATTCAAATTTTTTATAAAAAATTATTCACTTATTACCTCAAATTCATTTGCAAACGCTCCGATACCTATATATCCACGAGACTTTTTTTCATGAGGTAATTTATCTGTTGGTGGCAAGTAAGGAATTGGATCCCTAGGTGCAAAAAGTGCCAATAAATTCGGCGGAAGATATTGAGTCATATTTAAAAAACTAATTTAATTTGAATTAAGTCTTTCTACTTTTTTAAAATTTCAATATTGCCTTTAATTAATATATTTTTTATTCTTTAGCCTTCATGGCGTCAAGCCCAAATGACAATTGGCAAATGACAATGACATTAGCTTATTCTTATGCAGGAAAGTAGGGGTTTACCATTTTGTTTTGACAACACGGTAATACAATGTATCCATCTGAATATTACATATAATATTCGAAAAGTAAAATACGATGGCGTTTGAATCGATAATGTTAATATGAATTAAGAAATTTTAAGCAGTACTATAATTTTCTTGTTAATTGAGTAGAAAATTATAAAAAAAAAAAAAAATTTATTTCACGTATGTATTCAAATGTACACCATAACCACCCCTCGGCAACAGCACTAGATATTAATTTCCAATTCCAACCATACGATATTGCAAGTAAAAAATTAATTTAATTGTTTTACCTTGTATAAAACAAGTCTCAATTACAATTTTATGACAATAAATAGAGATATAATTTTGATTACGGCTTCCATGTAAGTCTGCACTTTAAATTTCTAAGAACTGTCAATTATGTAACATAAAAATTTGATAGCAAAATGGGAAAGTTGGAAGAGTAATAATATGCAACAACATCATATCTGCTAAAAGTACCGTACTTGTACCCAGTTTCGATGTTAAAGTCTAAAAACATTATCAATGCGATGAACGGTAATAGCAGCCGGCAAAATAAACTATTCAGTATTTTGCCTATAATGCACACACGTGGGAACATATGATTTAAAAAAAACCGCTAGCTTAAATAGCATTACGTTATTTTACAGGCGTCGGTTAAATTCGCATTAGTAATTTTGCTTTAATCCGGTCAGTTTTATTTTTATTATTATGTGCATTCTATATGAATTTTGATATTAATTCTGTTTTTACCCCAAAGTTGGACATAGAACAAGACGATTTTCGCAACGAAACGACAAAATGCATATAGAAAAGAATGCACGTGTTAAAATAGGACTAGTAAGAATTAAGTGAAATTAGCGCTACTACGGTGAAATAGCTTAAATTTCTATTTTACCACTGGCGGTATTTTTTAGCGTTATTTATTTTCATTTATGTACGACATTTTTCTCAAAATATGTTTCAATTTATTTTGCCGTTCCGATCTTGTTATTAACAACGTTCTCTGTTTGTTTTCACGGTAACTGTGTTGAATTTTTCACTTTTAATAATAAAAGTATTCAATTTAGACTGGCAGCAAAAAAAACTTTCAACACAAAAACGAAAAATTCTTGAGTTCCCACTTTTACTTGCTTCGCCATCACTTTATCTTCAAAAGATATTTTTCCTAAAGTAAGTACCATCCTGCAGTTTTCCTTTTGTGTTGATTCTTCTGGAACTATATATTTGATTTATTAAAAAGTTTTAATCAGCTCCAAATTTTCATGTTATATCGTAACATTCTTTTAAGGAATGTGTTCTAACAATAGTTAGAACTGTAAAATAATGTAGTTTTTAAAACCATATAAATTCCCAAATCGTAACTTTTTACGGAAATTTCATGAGAGATAAAAGGAAAGGTAGACTCAACTGCCAATCTTAATCCACTAAATTTTCACCTTTCATAATCTTTACTCGGCAGGGTTGAAAGTTTATAGGTTTTTAGATTTTGAAGTTTTTCAATAAAAATGTCATTTAGAAAATCAAAAACACAAAATATAAATGTCATTGTAATGTCATATTAGTAGTTAGTTAATTGAGTGTGGCTGCGAATTTTTTCCTAATCGAGTCGTTTTTATAAAAATAAATCCGCGTTTCTACTTTTTTCTATTTACAAAAATATTTTTAGGGATATTTTTTGATTCAGGGACAATTTTATTTTATTTTGATTCGTTTTTAATTTTGTTAGATTTTAATTTTAATTTTTAATAGGGTTTCTTTTCTTGTTTTTGTATTATGATTGAATCGATTTAATTTTTTCTTTCAAAATGTCTGCCATGTGAATTAACTTCGGATAATTTTAAAAAATATAAAAATTTAAATTAAAACAAAAATATTATCCAAAATGAATATACAGACTATAAGTGATGTTTCTGATTGTATTCCACTTTATTTGCCACATAGCTTGTGAGTATAATATTTGAAATGTTAATAAATAGGTATAAAGAAGTAAAAAAAATCATTTTGTACATACCTATAGATATCTTAAGCCTGTGGCAAAATTTAAAGTATCAGTGTCATTACCTAATAATAAGCTAGGAAAAACAATTTCAAATTATGATATAATGGATAAATTAAATAGTGCTATCAAACCGGACAAGTTCCTCGTTCTCAAAGTAAGTTAAATATTGTATGTAGATATACACACACGTAACACATAAATGTATTCAAATAGAAATGTTTGCTAAAAAAATAAATGTTTTTATAAAAATAATGCATTCAGCTAAAATACTTCTTAATTTATTTTAAGGTTTCCAAAAGCACGATTGAATTTATACGCTTTGAGGGGGAGCTTGAAAATTTACAAAAATTAAGAAAAGTACTCACTCGCTTGGACGGACTTTCTTTTAGATTAAATGGTTTTTCGGAATCATTCAAAGTGCGTGCAAGCGAATGTAAAGATGATTTTCCTAGTCGCCATGACTGGGATTCTTTTTTTCGAGATGCTCGAAATATGGATGAAATGAAGGCCGGAGAAAGGCCTGATACTATACACATTACAAACCTACCTATTAGATGGTTTTGTCCTAGACATTTAGAAAATGATGACAACGTAAAACCAAGTGAAAATATTTTTAAGAGGATATTTGAAAAATTTGGTAGTGTGCGATGTGTTGATATTCCAATTTGTGATCCATATCGATCAAAAATGAAAACGGAAATAACAGGAATGAAAACATTCAGTTTTGATAATGAAGTTATGTTTGAAGGGTATGTTGCATTTAAGAACAAAAACAATATCAACTATATAAAATTGAACTATTCAAACTTAACACTATATTTATTTATAGTTATGTACAATTCAGCGAGTACGTCGGCTTTGTTAAAACAATGGACGAGTTTCGAGGAATGAAACTTGTAAAAAAATGTGGCGATAAAAACCAAGCTGTTAATATTTTAGTTAACTTTGACAAAACCAAACATTTAAGCGATGCAAGCATTAAACGAAGAACTATAGTTAGAGATCGATTAATGGCTAAGGAACGTGCTAAGCAAGAAGACGACATAAAAAGAAAAAAAGAGGAGGAGGCTAGAGCTGAAAGGGAAAGGTTTGATTTTCACAAATTTTTAATGGTTTTATGCGCAATTTTATAGAAGTTATAAAATTTCGCATAAAACAAAATTTTGATATCCAAATAATTTTATACCGACCATTTTGCAAAATTCGGTTTGTATAATGAAATTTATTTAAATAACCCATTCGAAGAGATAGCGATATATTTTAGGAAAAGACAAGAAGAATTAAAATTACAAGAACTTGAAAAACAACGGGAAAGAGAAGAAAAACGTAAACAGAAGCATTTAAAAAAATTACAAGAGAAAGGAAACATTGAAATCAATCATAAAATAAAAATGGAAGAAAGAAAATTAATGATAGCTCAAAGAAAGTTGGAAAGTATTAGAATATTAGAAGCTTTATTTGAAAGAATAAAGGTAATCCAATTCCCTCTTTTTATACTATTTCTATAAAAAATTAAAAAATTTAATATTTCAGTTAAAAGAATCACTAAACAGTAAAACACTTAAGAGCAAAAGCCAAGTAAAAAAAAATAATAAAAATTTGGAAACTATTGATTTACGTAATAAGTTAATAAATCGATATAAATCTGCTCATGAAGAAATTATAGAGAAACAAAAATCTAAACTTGCTCAAGTAAAAGGAAGAACTGGACTTCTTGCGCTATTAAAAGAACAAAACAAATCTCGATCTCCAAGTGTAAATTCAATCAGTTCAGATGACTTGAGTGATATTTTAAGTGACTCCAACATAAGTGAAAGTCAAAGAAAGAAGAAACTGAAAAAAAGAAAAAAGAAAGGTGGAGATTCTTCCACGGAATTATCGTTAGATGAAGAAAACACTGAAGAGCAAGTGGCAACAACAAATCAGTTTGGTGCTGCAATGTATAACTCTGAAATAATACCCGAATGGTTTCAAATGGGATTTTACCCATATGGAGCACCCATGTTTCCTGGAATTGCTCCGCAGTTGAGGCCAAATTATGCCGGACCCATGAACAACTATAACAGAGGGTTTATTAGAGGAAGGGCAAGAGGGCGTGGACTGCGTGGTACTCGTGGTAGAGGTCATTATAATAATTCATACAATACCCACAATAGTGAAAAATATAATCATAAATATGCTGACGCCGAATATGAGGAAGATGAACACTATCAAGATGAACGGAAAAGAAGTTCTAGGTCATACTCTCGTGCACGTTCGAGGTTTGTCAGCATAATCTAGTTTAAAATTAGAATTAATTGATTTTCTTTTATCAGGAGTCGTTCCAAATCATATCATAAACATTCAAGATCCAGGCGATCCCGTTCAAGAAGAAGTCGTACGAGAACGCGAAGCAGGTCTCGCTCCTCTCACCACAGATCAAGGCGACGTGGACGTTCTCGAACTCGTTCAAGGTCCCGCTCTCGATCTCGTTCAAGATCGTACTCGAAACATAAATCTAAGAAACTAGTATCGACTCGTCGCTCCAAATCTATATCATCATCTACTGATCGTTCTCGTTCAAGATCTAGGAGCAGAAATAGACATCGCCGGTCATGGTCAAGACGATCAAGTAGGAGTAGGGTTGATGATGTCTTAAAAACTGTTGCAGGCATGGTAGTTGAAAAAGCCGAAAGTTCAAGAAGTCCGGAAGACTTTTTGCAACCAGAGAAGCTTACTCTTTCAGCTAAAGAAATACAAAGAACTGTCCAACAGAAATTACAAGAACGTCTTGAAATGGAGGAAAGGAAACGTAAACTCTCAATTGAAGGAAATGATTCTTCCACTAACGGACATTTAATCAAAGAACATGTTAAAGAGAACTCCACTCGAAGATCTCGTAGCCGTAGTAATAGAGATGATCGAAATGAAAATTCAGTCTCACCTTCAAGAAATTCTAGTAAAAGAGGGTCACCTCCTAGCAGAAATAATTTATCACCCCAAAGCACAGCATCTTCCACAAAAAAATCGCCTAATCGTTCAGAAAAAGATGATGATTATGAAAATTAGTAAATTCTACAAATTTTATGTTTTGCAATTAAGTATAACAGATTTGTAAATTAATAAATTAATAATATCAATTATATAAGATCAATATTTTGATGTAATAAAATCATTATTAGGTAATAGAATAAGAGCATTTCCTTCACGATCCAAGTAAAATTATCAAAAAAAAAAATTAGCTTTAGAGATGAATTTTTTTAAATAGATCTATGAAATAAATTATTTCGTACCTTTACAAATGCGCTGAAAACATAAATTTTGCAAAATATCACATTCAAAAAAATTTGATAAAAGCTGTTCACATTGTACACTGCTAAAAACTTTTGCTAGACGTAGTGGATACATAAAATGAAAGTAAGTAAGTTAGGTAGCGAAAAAACTAAGCATAAAAAATTTCTGTTTTTTCCACAACTGAACATAAACATGATTATGCACATTATGTATTTTTAAAATATCTATGTTTAAATATTGTAAAAACTTTATTTTAAAACATGGCAATTAGATCATATTTATTATTCAAATAGAATCAGATTTATTACATACTAAAAAATCTAAATACTTTTTACAAATTTATCGGCTACTTAACTCTTGCAATATAGTTATTTTCCAACGCAACGGAACGGAATTAATAATCTAAGCACTTTTTGGTTTCATATAGAGTTAGGAACCTTGAGGCGAGTTTTATTAAAATTTAACATTTGTGTCTATTAAAATTATTAAATACTTGAAAGATGGTGGATATCGAATCTTGTTATTTGGACACTCAAATACATATATTAATACTTTAATATAAAGTTTGAAAATCTACATTATGTATTTTCAAATATTCTGAATAACATTGGCATTTATAACAACGAAGAGAAAACTTGTAATAATGCTTATAATTACCAAGTTTAACTAAAATTTCTGTGTCAGAGAATAGAGGATAAATCAGCCGTTATTAGATAGAAATTTTTTTTTTGTGGACATTTATAGGTTATACAAACTAAATTATTTACCGACTGTATATTAGTTTTTTAGTTATGAAGAGTGCTTCACTACCTTAAAAGAAAGCATTGGTAGGTAATGGTAAATTCTTAAACGTCAAATTTTACAAAATCTGAGTTGTCTGAGTTTACGGATACTCTACTACGTTTTTACTCTCAGTCAAAGTTTAAATTCTTAAACGTTTAAAAAAAGTCAATTAAGCGTCAAAATTGTAGATTTTTTTTTTTACATGCAGACAGTCTGACGTAGTAATTCAGGAAATAAATTTGATGTGTTGAGTGACTTTTATTACGTTAAAAATAATATAAAAAATATTTTTATTGTTAATTTTTAATATGTAAATATAAAATTATTTTAAATCTAAAAAATTTTTTTTTGTTTTGACGTTTACGGATGATCAAAATTCAAAGTCAATTACGGGTAAAAAGTTTACTAGATTTCTGTCCGTAAAAGTTTTAGTTTCAGACAGTTTGCAGACTAAAATCAAAATTTTGACGTTAAAGAATTTGCGGTAACATGACGAACACAAAGAACGTACTAAGGTTATTTGAGTGAAGTCAACTCAGTTTTCTAACAATTCTCAATAGGCTCACCGAAATGGCACTTATTAGTCCTTCGAGCACGTAAAGAAAAACTTTCTTTAAACACGTTTCTCCTTCACCAAATCTGTGTATTACGTTAACATACAGGTGACAAACTGTACTACTATTGACAATTTCTACCAGAAAACTTCAATCAAATAGTATTTAAAATATTATCATAGTAAAATTGGTAACATTCACCCAGCCTTGCTTTAGTTTAAATATTCTTTTATATATGTATACCAAATAATAATTTTAACTAATAACTTTACTATATTTTTTTTTTTATTATGAATAACTTTATTATAATTTTATTATAAACATTTCGGCTTTTCCATTTTTTTTTCTTATATTATTTAATTCATAACTTAATAAAAGTTTCTATTTTAAATGTTTGCAACACGTTCTCAAAATGTATGACTATTTGAAATTCACCTAAAGCAAAGTAAATTGTAAAATAAAATACGAAATTATTTAAAATTATAATATTAATTTTTATAAAATAAAACATTTATATTTTCTTTTAATATAATAGTAGTATGTGAGTAGAATTTATTTATAAAATATATTTATAAAATTTTGAGAATGCATATTTAAAAATTTAAAGTATCCGGACAAATGCCTATAGCTATATGGCATTAATTAAGACTTTAAAATTTTTAATAAAGAGTTCGAATGCTTCAACAAAAAATCATATTGAAAAATTCTGAATATAACAAATTGTAAAAGTTAAGGGTAAAAAAATTTGAATTAAATATTCGTACATTAAAATGAATATTTTTTGAAAAAAAAAAAATGTAAAATTTGAGCAAATTTAGAGGGTAGCTTTTGTAACATTGTTTATTATATTATTTTCTAATTGACTACATAAATACATATTAAAATTTAGTTTAATAAATTAAATTTGATTTTTAAGAAACATAATTTTATAACATTTAATTGAGTTGTTAAAAAAAATATTGTCTTTAGGTTTAAAATATCTAGACGGATTATTTTCTTCTTTTTTTTCAATTATTTTTATATTATTATCATTTTATTTCTACTTTAAATTTTAAATGAAGTTACATGCTTTTGTATACATTGATATTAATAATATATATAAATATGTATATATTTTTCATCAGATATTATTAATACCACAAATTTTTAAAATAGATTCAATTTTCTTCATAGTTTATAACAATACATATTTGGTGTATTTTATATAAATATATAATTAATTAATATAATATTTTTATGTATACAATATTATAAAAAATACTTTTTATATATAAAATTATTGACAATTTTTTCACCCTTAAAAAATTTTTCATAAATATTCAGTTAGGGAAGAAAAAATTGTATTTAATAACATTGCTTTATTAAAATTAATAATATATTTTAAAAATTCTTGCACTAAAATACTCTCATTTTTGTATATATATTTTTAAAATTTAAATTTTTGTTATATTCGCTAAAAAGCAAAATATTCTTAACTAAACATTTAAGTAAGAAACTGAATTAAAATTTTTAGTTTTTATGCTTTCACTTTAATCAAAATTTGCATTAAAAAAAGTAATCATAGTTTTTATAATTTATTCATTGGAATTTTTGCAGCGAATAAATTATAATGGAGAGTTCAAATTTTATTTAGGTTTTCCAAATGTTTTTAATTAAATCAATTTTAACAAAACAAAAAAAAAAAAATATGTAAAAATTTTTCATAGAAACCTTGAAGACATTATTTTTTTATTAAATGTATTTCTAGAATACCAATAGGTACAAAATATACTAATTTTTTTTTTTGGTTTCTGGACAAATAGGATGAAGAAAACAGAGATGAAGTGAACGTAAATGTAAAGAATTCATTCATCAATTCGTAAAGTTGTAATAATAGTTTAAAAACTGTTCATATTTCTTTTTTCGTTTAATATCATATTGTTTTAAATATTTTTTATTGCCTTATTTCATATTTTACATAATATTTTGTATATATATACTAATTATTTATGTACTAATATAAAATATATGCATGTATCTATAAGAATTTAAATTCTTGATTTTAAAGAATTTTTTAAAAGTCCAATAATTTATTTTACTTTTCTCATGCTTTATTCAAAAAAATATATCCTAAAACATAATTATATATGGTAGTAATTATTATAAATTAATTTAATTATATCATTTGCTTTAATTTATATTGTCCATAAAATCATATAAAAAAATCTTTAAATACTCGTAACAATAAAATAAAAATATTAAATAATATTAATCATCAATTAGTATAATTTTCGATCAAAATTCTCTCTTTAAGAAAAATTACTAAAATCTGTTTTTAATTTGATTGTTGGTTTTAATTGCAAATTCGAGGGTTGTCTTGTTCCACTGTTCTGGCCATCATTATTGTTTCGATTATTTAAGTTTGTGGTGAATTGTTGATTATGACGTATAGCTGTTTCCAATTTTATTCTTAATTCTGGTGTTTGACCAATTAAACTCTTAAATTGTTGTGGATATTTTGGTCCAATTTTCATTAGCCAACCCAATGATTGATCGTGTAATTGACGAATTGGTTTCGATAAAGTTTTCAATTTCGTTGGATCCGAAAGAAAATTTATTAAGACTGGAACTAGAAGTGTCAACATTTGTATACCTATAAAATAAATAAATACAATAAAATCAATGCCAGATCATGAAATAAAATTTTAATTGGAAAACATTTTGAATAATTATGATCTTTTAATAAAGCTTAGTATGTAAAAAATAAAAAAATCTCAATTTATTTCATTATTTATAATAAAATTAATTTTAAAAAAATTAATACTAGCTACTCGAATTTAATCTTGATATATTTATGTTTCTAAATACAAATATGGTGCAATTAAATAAAAAAATCTTCTATACCTTGCATTAAGTTTCCTTCAATCACAAATTGAAAGCATTAAAATTTAAAAATATTTATATAATTAGCGAGATATTTCAACGTTTGCTAAATAGTAACTAATTTACAAAAAGGGTAAAATAATACTAACGATTTTGTGGTTCAGCTAATTCGATTAGAGTTTCGACGGTGTTGATTCTTTCCAATGTAATAGATAAATCTAAATCACTTTTTGGTTGTCTTGCTGTTTCAATATACAATCCTTCAATAATTCTTGGCGCTAAAGCGTGTATGTAAGGTGTTGAAACTTTTAAGTCCGAATTTGAAAATATCGAACGAATTGTTTGTATACATTTTAATTTTACTGTTGGATTTTCAATTTGCAAATATTGTCGAAACAGATTTATGCATGGATACTGTAATGATGGTACTGATACTACATTTGATCCTGCATGCAACAAAAATACAGCTATGGATAACATCATAGTAACTTCATCAATTTTTGTATCTTCTTGGCCAGTTTTTGTTAAATCTATAACACTTGCAAGAGTGCTTTGAAGATACTTTTTCCAGACTTCCTCAGATCTCTCATCACTTGCATATCTATCTATGCAAATTGTTTTTAAACAATGTAAAGATGCTTGAACGGAACCACTATTTGCTAAAATATTTTGATCTTTTACAGTTTTAATAGCAACTTCTTTCATTATGTTTGTATTCATGAAAAGAATAGTAGGTAGAATTGCTAATGCTCCTAAAATTATTAAAATATAGTTTGCTATTGTAATTTTTTACTCTAAATGATGAACAAAAGATTAAATTTTTTTTTGAAATTACCTTTCGGAGAACAAAGTTGAGTTAATGACTCAACACACTGTAGTCCACTTGCTATTAAAGTACCCTTGTCTTCTCCTACATTTATTATACCCAAAGAACATTTTTTCTTTGCAATTTCTTTCTTCAAATATTCTGTTGTTAGCTTAGTTGAACTGCTTGGGTTTATGGTTGGAAGTTGCCTAACAAATAAACATAAACATACTTCAAGCACAGCGTACACATGAGATTTTCCAGGAACAATTTCACCATCTTCGCCTCCTTCGCCTAAATAATCCAATTCCCTCATAAAATCACTTTTCATTTCGTTATCTGGATTTTCATGATTATTAAAATCGTTTATTCTCTTTGATCTTTCTGTCTCCAAACATAGTTTGGCAGCACTTATTGTTTGTTTTAAAATTTCCATGCATAGTAACTGAATAAACAAATTATCTTTTGTTAAAATTTGTCGATGGAGCACGTTACAGAGTTCTATGGTTAAAGATTTGTCTTTTATAAGCATTTTCCTTGACCATTCTGAATCGAATATAGTATATAAAGATTGTAAACAACTTATTGAACTTTTTGTATCATCATTAGTTCTTATATTACACAAAGCTTCCATGCATATTCCGAAAATCATGTGAAAACGATCAGCACTTATACTGCCATGAGTTACAGTATTATTATTTTCATGATGTAAGTTTGAATTGTCATTATCATTTAGGTCTTCTGTAATGTCGAAACCACCATTATTTAACCAAAGTGATGCTGCATATAATATTGGCGGCCACGAAGCCAAGTAATGTGGTTTTGATGAGTTTATTGTATCTGTAGTGTAAAATGCTCCACCATCGTGAGGTAATTGACTTTGAAACTCTTGAGGTAACAGCAACAATGCATGATCTTTTAAAGCAGCTAGCCAGTGTTCCGATAAATTATCTAATTCAGGCTTAACTAATGATAATAAACTTTCACCACGCGATTCGAATTGTCCAAACTCATTATCGTCAACGGAATCTCCTGTTTGGTTGCTATACTCATTGTTATTGTTAATTTTATCGCTGTTACCGTTATTGTTGGCACTTGCAGCTGATAAAGAAATTTGATTTGATGAAAGCTTTTTTTGTAATAAACTTGCAGGAGCAGACCCATTGTCTATCATAGCAACAATATAAACTTCAGCCCAAGCTTTCAGTATGCTTAATTTTTCCAATGTCGCCATGCTTTCATTGTAAAGTTGAGTGCTATTTGTTTTAGTATGTAATTTAGATAAACTTGAGACAAGCAATTGATGTACCCGACGGAGGTCATTTAAATCGCGAGCTACACCAGATCCTATCCATGCTGAACAAACTTTACATGCGGCTGCAGTAACATGACTTGGAGTTTCAGGAGAAAAGGCTGGCCGAAGGGCGGCCCCGACCTAAAACAATTATTTCTAATATGAATCAATTATTCTTACAAAACTTTGTAAATTTGAGAAATTATGCAATATTTAGCTGATACCTGAGCTTGATACTGTTCCAAGAGTAAATGACCTGGAAATTCAGGTTCCGGGACACCAGCGAATTTTTCGATTATTTCTTGTAGAGTTTTCAGTCCTTCAAGTCTTAATTGATCTGAGTCACTTGTTGCAGCCATAAAAGACATTCTTATTAAATCCGATAGATGCAAAATCAAATAATCGCCAGAATTTCTTGTCATCTGCATTTCTTTTGCTTGCATCAAATCAAAATGTATAGAATTAGAGGTTTCACACGCGGAAATTATTTTCCGAACACATTCTGCAGCAAAGACTCTCGTAGGCCAACGGGGCTGTACTGCGGGATGTGTAGATATATTTTCTTCAGCATGATACTCTGTTATATCATCATCATTTTCTATTTCATCGTCATTATCTGTTAAGTTCTTCTTAGAAGAATCGTCATTAGTTGCAGTGTCTACCGTTATTGTTAAAACATTCTTACACATGCCCAACCAATGAGTCAAATTTTCGGAAGCCAACATTTGCAACATTGATGTCAAGGTGTCATGAATATTTTTTATCATTTCGTTATCGGTCTCAGTGTCTAACATGCTAAACAATATGCCAGGCAGTCCAAAGTCCGTTAAACTTAGATCAGAACATTCTTCCGTAGGAATTGATAAAGCATGTTCACATATTTCTTTTGCTTCTCGTTGCGCTAATTGTCGTAAACAAGAAACTGCTGACTTGCGCAACATTAAATAATTACTTGACAAGGTTTTTAATAAAGTTGGTACTAATGTTGAAAGATTAACATGGCGGCAAAAAAGATGAAGTTTTTGAAGGCAATTAATAGCTTCAGCTTTTACCAATGGATCTGAATGTGCTTGCATTATTGCAGTTGAACATAGAAAAGATGAACGCATCGCGCTTACAGAAGGTGTATTAGATTGCAATTCTGGACCTATTGTAGTTATTAATGCATTTAAAACGCGTCCTATACATTGATGAACATCAACATTTGAATGAGGTACTGACAGTAATAGTTTTAAACAGAGTGACAATGTTGCTTCTACAAATCCTCTAAACATAGGGCCCCCTGAGTCAGCAATCAAAGAAAGCGCATATAAAGACCACACTTGAACTGCAGGCGAACTTGTATCTTGAGCTAAAGCTAATAGAATGGAAACACTTGTGTTTAAATGCTGTGAGGAGCCCATTCCACCAACATAACGATGAAGGCATCCTAAAGCCAACGAATGCCCTGTTCTAGAAACTACATCTCTCGCTAAAACATATTATACAATATTTTTATAAAAACATAATGCTTTATGTAATACTGTAATGTTACCAGATTTTAATTTATCAAAACTAGTTTGAGCCAATTCAGCAGTAAATCTTGAATCTCCCACAACTTGTGCTATACGCCCTAAAGCTTCACCAGCAGCACACCGTAATGTTGAATTGTTACTAATTAATGCTGCTATTATAAGATTTGTTGCGCTTTTTTTAACTTCTTCTTGTCCAATTCCACTTTTACTTTCCGTTAAACCTTTTAAACCACTTAAAAGTGCCGTAAAAATATTCATTTGTACGGCTTCTTGTCTTGAGCTTTTGGCTTGCTTAATACATTCAACAAAATGTTCTAGCATTTGAAGGCGATGTTTATTAGCAACTCTGGGAAAAATTAAACCATACAAAATAACAGACATATCAATTACAGCCACTCCTAAAGGAAGAGGTCCCGGACATTGTTCATTCTTTGGCAATGATCTATATAAACAACATGGATCATGTTCTAATGCTCCTGATCCTGCTGCACTATTAGGTTGTAACTAGAATAAAAATTTTTTTTTACAATGCTATTAATTTTTCAAATAATTTTCTTCTTTTTTCCTATCTTAAAATTAAAAATTAATATCCATGCTGAAATAACACCTAATAACACTCAAATATGCTAAATGTTCAAAATTAAAAATTTATGTATGTATATCAATTAAAAAAATACTTTTCGTATCAAACTGTTACTAAATTAAGCATTTTAAATTAACTTGCTTTTTGTTTTAAACACAAGTTTTTCTTTCCAAGTCTGTGCTAACCTATTAAAATCCAACATATTCTATTCTCATATGAAGTACACGACCTTCTTGAAACACAATTGTAGATATGAACAGGAAAAATTTGAAAGTTCAAAAAATTTTTTATATTTAATTTTGATTGAATTTTTGTTAGAAAATGTAATCGTGATAGATATAGAATTAAGTTAAAATTCTTACTTAATGGAAAGAAAAAGTGCATAATTTGCAAATTGTAATACGCATACATACATATCTATGTACACTAGAGATAAAACTTTAGGGTTTAATTGAATGAATGTACTAGAAAACATTCTTATCATAAAAACAAAACAAAAAGTTTTTGCAATTTGAAATCATTATATGCTCCAATATCTACAATAAAAGACCTAATTTGCAAAGAAACTGTTAACGTAGTCTTTTTTAAAAACAAACTAAAACAATCAGTTCGGCTTTGTAATTTTAAAAAATAGTTAAATAAAACCAAAACAAACACAAATAAAAAATAATTTTGAAACCAGCTACAGTTTTATTCTGAACTTACATGTTCTCCATCAGATTTTCGGTTAGGTTCCATCTTAGCAATAAACAAAATGAAATAGTTTGTTTCATTTTCAGACAATTTTCAATACAGATTATTTTAAATTATATTTTGTACAAATTGCAATTTACCTGATCTTCAATTGTTCTATGATCTGTCTCTTGCAGCCATGTGCCTAAAATAACTGAATCATCTCCATGACAAAGTGTTCTTAACAGAGAATTTGTCGTATTTGCAGGATTATCAGATAAAGTGAACTCCGAAACAAGCATTCGTAGTAAATGTGTATACGAAGATTCTAAAGCATTTGGCGGTAGTAACGTAAGTGTTTCGTATAATCTCAGACGAACCATAGCTGCAGGAGCTTTCAAATGTTGACCGTAATTTTTTAAAACCGAAGTAATGCTACAATATCAAAAAATTTATATCAATGAATTTTCACTATTTCATAATTTGTAAAACTTACTTAACCAACATTGCAAGAGCACTTTCAATTGGAGTTAATAGTCTTCTTGTCAAATCTTCAGTAACTAAATCATTGCAATGTAATAAAAAGCTATGCATAACTGACAGAGCTCCGGCACGACCTTCTAATGTAACTTGCCATGTAAACGAATCACCCCTGGCTTTCTCTGATTCAAGTTCTTTAGCCGATCTAGGAAATGAATTGCGCCATAATAAAAGCATTCGTGGTAATAAACCTTTAACTACTGAAGAACCAAGTGTCATTATTGCTCCAATTAATAGCCAACCGGCTTGGGTACGATTCAAAGAAAGTCTACTATTTTGACTTGCAGATCTTAAAAGCTCTTCTCCGGTATTAAATACTACTTTTCCTTTAGTGTGAGGTATGCCCAATGGAGAAAACCTTACACTTCCTAAAACTGCAGCAAGAGCACTACTATAACCAGAAATTGCTTCGGGAGAAGATCTCATTTGTTCTATTGCTTCAATAAAGCGATCAATCAGTGGAGTTATCTGACTTGGTACAGCAAAACAAACACATCTCAGACACCAGGCACTAGCTAATCTTGCTGCTGCGCAAGGGTGTAATAGAACTGCACAAACAGCATCAATAAAATTTAAAGAGGGGTCGCTTAATAATATATGAGCTGTAGTTCCTAAACCAGACACTAGGCTTCCAAGTTCTTGTAATGCACAAACGAGTAAATGTTGACTAAATAATGTTTCTTGATTTGATTCTTTTGCATTTTCTGGGTTAAAATCAATGGAATTCATTTGCTTGGCTATAATATGAATTAACTCTTTACAAGCTGACGTTTGTGCTTTTTCTCCTAACATCTTTCCAGTAATAGATCTTAATATAAAGTTTATGCACTTCCGAGAATATACAGCATCAACATGTGATGAAGCAGCTTTCGGATTTGCCACTAAATCCAAAACATGAATTAAAAACGTTTGTAAATTTCTTTCTAACCAAACGCTTCCCATATAATGAACAAATATTACATAAGCATGTGTAACACCAACACGAACTTCTCGATTAATTCCCGATGTACCTTTTATAATTTCACCAGTGCCTTTTAAAAACGAGACCCCACCTCTAAGAAAACCTGACATCAAAATTCCAAAAACTTCATCAAGTGAAATTGTTTTTATTTGTTGATGTTTCGATTGGGCAGATCGAATTTTTTTTCCGTTTTTTGGAGATTCTTGTTGCTGTGTAAAAGCTAAAAGCGTTCCTAAAAGTTTTGCAACAGCACATCGAACTTCATAATTGCTACCATCAAATGCTCGAAAACACAAAGTAGCAAGACTTTCAAGTTCAGTTGTATATAGAAATGGCGCATGATTAATCATTTCCAATAAACATTTCGCAGATGAAACACGAACAGCCATAACTCGATCAGTTAAGCAATGTTTTGTAGCTTTATATATATCTTTGTGAACATTTGATATTGCAGATCCCATTCCTGCACAAACTTTTTCTAAAGTTTTCATTATTTCTATACGTGTTTGAGACTCTGCACTTCGAAGAGATCGCAATAAAATTTGAACGGTCTCTTCATATGAACGACCCATCATTCTTCCTAGTTTCTCATACATGCTTCCTAGTACACATATAGCCGCCCTATAAATAAAAAAATCTTGCTTCACTCTTTTTTATTTTTTTTTCTATTTGTATATAATAACTTACAACTTTGTTGGCAAAAAACTTGGTGAATCATCTTTATTTTTCAAAATGTCATTACAGGTATTTACTGTGTCGAATAATAAAAATGTATCGCCAACTGAAAATAAAGTAGCTAAACAGTCAGCTATCAGTTTTCGTGTCGGAGGTCCCGGTGAACCTTGAATATGTGTAGTTAATTGCTGCACTAATTTTTTTTGGCATCCTTTAATATCAGACTTTTGTGCTGCAACTAAAACTTTACTCAGAAATCTTAACCATTCAAATATAAAAACTGGACGTTTTTGTTCTGGTATCTGAGCAAGAGCCTCTTCATTAAGAATTAGGCTATGAGAAAACTCTTCCATCCCTAAAAAATAAAATATAATATTCAGTATTTAGAATTAACGTAGAACGTAAATTGAAAACATAAATCGTCTTTCCTTCACATTTAAGTTAATTTTAACAATAATACAACAGAGAAGTACATTTAGTAAACAATTTCATTAGTATGAACTATGTACAAATGTACGTAACAATTAATTTGGATACTTTTTCAATGTAGGTACGTACATACTTATTGTTGTACAACAAATTGCAGCAGAGAAAGTTGAATCACATAACTACTTGGTATGAATATGTTGGTAAAATACAAATAACGTAATAAAATTAAGTGGGAATATATAGGTTAAACTAATGAAAAAATCAAAGTTACATTTAGTACAATATTACTATTAGAGTCGTTTGAATTAAGTACAATTATTGTGTAACAAGATATTATTTTGAATTTAATATATGGGAACAAAAATGAATAAATTTGTTTTTTATATACTTATAATTGGAATCATTACAATAATTCAAATGAATAATTTTGTATTTGCTTTAAAACCACGGGGTCAAAATTTTCAATATTTTGAAAGACCATCATATCGTTACCCATATTATGACGAAAATGGACGTGGAAAACTTCTTTATGGTTATGGAGGACCTGATTTATATACGTATAAAGCCTATACTCCGTTAGAAGGAATTCATTAGCAATGCATTAATTTATTAATTTTGCTTTTTGGTAGTAGAAATTAATTAACTATGCGTACATACATACATAAGAAAATATTTTGCAAATTAAGTTTCAAAATATGTCAAGTAGTTTGTAATTTAATGACACGCTTTTTATTGGTACAATTTATTTTGTAAAGTGTAAATTATAAAAAATATTCTATAAAAATTTGCAGTTTAGTGGAAACTTTTAATTAATCGATTATTTATAGTTCACCTAATTTATGATTCATTAAAAATCAATATCATTTTTAAAATTTCGATTTTCAAATTTAAAAATTGCATAAAGAAAATAAAATTTAAGAAGAATTTCTTTAGTTTTGTTTTTAGTTTTACAGATTTGGAATTTTTTTTTCATTTGCTATAAATTTTATACCGATTAATATTGAAAATCGATAAATTTTTACTTACTTTATAAGGTTATGATATCAAATCTCTGTTACTAAAATAAATTTTTAAATAACAATATTTAAGAGTTTTTTCTTTATTTTGTTTAAATTATTTCAAAACATTTTTTATTTTAAACTTAAAAATTTCTGACGAAAAAGAATATTCTGATAATTTTCCTTTTGACATTTAATGAATAATGTGACACTTTAATCTTATTGACGTTTTCCATTATCTTTTAGCAACCAACTAAATGTATAAAAGACAAATTAAATGTAGATTGGCAAAAATAAACAAAATCTTCGAACTAAATTCAAAACAGCTGAGTTCCCACATTTTCAATCTCCTAGAAACTTCAAAACTAAAAGAAATTTTTTCGTTGAACAATTTTATATTTATATTATAACTAAATAAACTAAGTTAACTATGAACTTAAGTTGAATAATTTTACGTTCTTCAAAATGCTGAGTAATGTAAATTAAATAAATGAAAAATCAACTGAATGTCAAAAATAAAATATAACTGAGTTATTTTTTAACTTTTATCTCGTTAATAGACTAATATTATAATTTTGCTCATGCTCCATCTTTACACATAACGATTTAAATTAAACAGAACTACAAAAATGTTTCTAAAATATTAATTGAGGGAAAATAAAATCAATTAAAATAAAATTGTTTTTTACATTAGAGAATAAAATCAAACTGTCAGTTGCAGGAAAACCTTTTAACGAAGAACGATTAGCTAAGCAATTGATTCAACTTCTTTTCCGTGCAAATCTAGCTTTATGTAAATTTTAGTAAAATGACAATTGACAATCATATGTGGAAAATATTTTGTATATGTTTGTTGAAGGGTGCCCCTCACGGCTAATATTTTTGTTGTGTTAAGGAAGATATTACTTGTAATTTAATAGTAAAATTATAAATCTTTGAAATAAAAAACAAGTTTAACTAAAAATATGTCTTTACCGCCAGCTCTTTTAAAAAAATTAGCTAACCGCGGTCTTGTATCAGTCAATAATAAAGGTTCAGAAGACCAAAAGGCTAAATCTATACACCAAGTATATTTCTGTTTAATTTATTTGTGTTAAGAAAAATGTTTTCTTAATTTTTTAAGAATTTTTATTAAAAAAAATTCTCAAAAAATTTAAAAAACATTCTAAATTTTTCTTTTTTATTAAGAAGAACTTTTTCATAACAGAATGAAGAAATTATTGCTGAAGACTATGATGAAGTGGAGGATCCATCTCAATATGACTATGAACCAGCAAAAAAACCAGAAGAAAATTTTTGGAAAGAACGGATGAAACGTCGTATAGCGGAAGGCAACAACACAGGATACAAAGGATGTCCAAACAAGTACAACATATACCACAAATGCACTTTATACTGCGTTACTAGATGGATGGATGGTATAGTCGATCCAGATAGAGAATATTTAAAGAGAAAGGATCGATTGTTAAAAAAATATCCATTACCCAAGCATTGGGTCGAAGTGTACGAGTTTGGTTTAGGAATTCATTATTACTGGAACAAAAACGATGATATGTAAGTTCGAACATTAATTAAACTCGGAAAACACATTTTGATACCTGATACTTGACTTCTTTAGAGTGTCTTGGCTTCCTCCAAATCACCCAAAAGCAATATTATCAAAAAGTGCTGCTTCTTTAAGAAAAGAACTTGAAGAAATTCAACCTCAAAACATTGAAGAAGTTGAAAGTGAATTCAAAGAATTAACCGATGAAGATATTGAAAGAATTTTAAATTCCCCTATGCCTCCAATTCCAAAGGTAAGAGTAAAAAAAAAAGTGTTCGAAAATGGGATCACTACTTATATTAATTTTATTTTATATTCAGCGCGCAGAATCACCGAGTCGATATGAAAGACATCATCAATCATCACCGGTACCATTAAAAAAACCCAAATCTCGTGATTTAGATAAAACTTTGAGACAAAAAGCACAAAGATTTAGAGGTTCGCAACGCGATGACTATCGCACTTCAAGACGAGATGATTTTCGGGATCGGGAAAGATCTGAACGCGTTGAAAGAAGAGAAAATGAAAAGAGTAGAAATTCTAACGACAACCCTTTAGATCCCATGGATCCTGCAGCTTATTCTGATATTCCGAGAGGTAAATGGTCCGATGGACTGGCAAATGAAGGTGGTTCACAAAAATCTGGAGCTGCCGATCCTACAGTTTCCGGTACTGCATATCAGCAAAGACCTTATCCTAGCCCAGGAGCTGTACTACAGGCAAATTCTACATCAGATAGAAAAAGAAAAGAAAATGATGGAATTAATTCTGCACTTGACATCAAAAATAAAGAAGAAGATTATGTAGAGGAATACTATTAGAATTAGTATTTAATCTATAGTAGATAATGTTAAAAATATATATTCTAAATACGTATAGCATATTATGTTGAAAGAAAAAATAAACCTGATCATAAGTATGTATACCGTTTTACTTTCCGATTAAGAAATTTGTTGTCCCCAAGTCGTAAATCGAACATGCCGATAGAGTACTAGATCGTATAATATCTAGTTAGAAAAAAAACTTTGAATTTTCTTTAAATTTCCATTAAAATAATTTTATGAATGGTCTAATCTAAGGTACTAGTATTAGAAAGTAAAGTAGAGTATTTGAGGATAAAAGACTAAACCCTTAACATAACAGCGGGTAATAGGTTATTAAAAATTTAAATTTCAGGTCTATTTTTTATGTAAATATGTATTTAAACCATAATATTAATAACATCTGGACATTATTCTTTTTTTGCATTCTTGTTTTTTATCTTAACCGAAGTTTAGCTCGAATATTCTTTACGAAATACTAACTTGAATGATTCTTGTGGAGTTATTTTGAAATATAAAAAAATATAATTTAAAATTTTCATCTCTGTGACTAAATATCTTGCGCCGCAACATTATCCATCCTTGTGAAATTTTGCAGTTTTCATTTTAAAAATTACAAACTTTAATTTAAAATTATTAAATTTTATTTTTAACTTAATAATAATAATTCAATTTGAATTTTTAAAAATCGATAAATATATGTATGCAAGTATACAAAATAAATAGTAATGTAAGGTATGGATGCTTTAAAGTTGTATTCATAATAATTAATAACACATCAATATTACGCTACTACATATAACTCAGATATAAAAAACTAAATAATAATTCAGATATCAAAAAATATCTTTATTAAAATTAAAAAAAAAATATCCAATTAAGTTATGTACCTAAAACATATATAGATTTTTTAATGTTTTAATTAAAATAGTTAGGAATAATGAAGATTTTATCTTAAATTATTAGATAACATAATTATTTGAAAAAAATTAAAGCGCATGCGACCATAAATTAAATTTTTTCAAATTTATTGAAAATAATTTTCTTGCAATTAATATGAATATTTAAAAAAAAACAAAAAGATTTCAAAATTCCCTATTATTTTTACAATATTTTGTTATTTATTATTTAAAAATCTCAATAATATTTTATTCACATTATTTTTTCTCATTCTTAAACACAAATTTTATAATTACTTTTGATCAAACAGATGCAACATAGTTTGATTAAGTTTTAAATATTTTTTTTATAATGAAAAATATAAATTAAATATAAATTTAATGAGAATATTTTTATTTTTAATATTTTACAAATAGGCTCTTCAACAATAAATTTTTAGTGATTATAAATTTTTTTTTCTCTATTATTATAATTAGTATTATTACAATTTTGATTTGAGAAGCTTTTAATATAATGTTAATAGTATTTAATTTCATAAAATATTTTTTTTTTATTTTTTTAAATTTTTTTATAATATATTCATTTATGATTGATGAGGAACGGACAAAGTTTGGCTTTATGCATTACCTTGCAAATTTAAATTTTGAAATTAAAAATTTGTTTTAGTAAAAGCCTCTTCTATTAAGTTGAAAAAAAAAAAATTACTAATAATAAAATTAAATGAAAAATTTTAAACAATAATAATAATAGTTTATACTCAGCCTGCAGTTTCAGTATACTTACTAAAATATATGTAATTATAAAATTCGAAACAGAAATTTTTATTGATTCTAAAGGATTTATTTTCGGATTTATGTACATTTAAATAGTCTTGTTAACTTTTTTTTTTTTTTTAATTTCTTATTTAATTAATTTCATATTTTTAAATTATCTAATACATTTTTATAAATGTTAATTGAATTTTTTTTTTGATTTTAATATTTATATTTGTACATATTTTATAATTTTGATAAATATTGCATATAAAATACATATAGAAATTGTTATTAAACAAAATATATAAATAAATGAATACTATAATCTACATAGAACCCAAAAATAAAAAAAAATTCATTTCAATATTGTACGTATATTCGTCAATTTAATAGCAATCAATATCATATTCCGAAAAATTAAAATTTCAAAAGTGAAAATATGTAAGTAAATATTGCTTTTGATTTCAAACGAATATAAAAGGAAGAAAAAAATTAATAATTATTGTAATTGAATTTATCTTAATATTCCCATATATTTTTGAAAAAATATTTTACTACATATACAATTTATATAAATTTTATATATGTAATTTTATACATTTTTTTTAAACTCAAACATTCTAGATTTTCCGTGCATCTTTCCAAATTCTTATATATTATGAAAATTTTATAATATTTACATATATGTACATATTATAAAATTTTAAAAAGTGCAACTTTTTAAAAAATATTTATATAATTAAATATAAGGCAATGAATATTTTATTAATTTCGAAAAAAAATTAAAACAAAAACAAATATTATTTCGAAATTCTATGCACCAATGTATTGTAAACGTAAAATTTTAAAGTTCATATCAAAATACTATGCAAATTTTTTTCTCTCTTAATTCTAATTAAAATTTTCATTTCTTTGTAAAATTCATAATAAATTTTCTTTTCATATACAATTTATTTAATATATAATATATATAAATAATAACGTATGCTTATTTGATATTTTTTGCACCATCGAATAGTTTTTGAATTTTTTTTTTTTTGCATTTTTTTAACAATTAATTTCTAAAACTCTATTTATATTTTAAATCCATATTAAATATTTTAATTAACAATGATTTTTACAAATTTTTAATATAAATCAAATAAAATCTATTTACTATAATTTTTGTTTAAAATTTCTTTAAATATTTACAAAAATATACTTTTTTCTATAATAACAATTAGTTTTAAATGTTAGATACTTTAGTAAAATCTAGTTAAGAAACCTCCTGGAAATTACTATATAAAAATAAAAAATTAATAAAGTAGAATAACTGAATTTTAATAATTTTTGTTAATTGATTGAATAATAAGTTGAAAACATTTAAATTTTTTTGAAAATCAAAATTATTCTTTTTTTTTATATTTTATCTTTTTTGTTGTTTTTTTTTTTATATTTCTAACATTATTTGGTAGAAAAATGTAATATTAACATGCATTTAAATGTCTCAGAATTATTTACTTTTAGTTTAAGATCATGAAAACACGATCGAATTTATTTTTACCAAAACAAAAAGTAAATTATTTAAAATACGATTTTAATACAAAACTGTTTTTGTAGATTATGGATTTTTGGAAACAGTATGGTGGGTGACAAGAAAGTTTTTCCCCCCAAACCACCTCAACTTTTCGCAATTTATTGTAAACCCCTTCACGCTCCGACCTACTGCTATTTGTGTAATCAATTAATTACCGGTTGATTAAATTTTCCATGAATTTTCCAAAATGAACAATAAACTCAAAAAATTTTATATAGTTCCTTATGTAATTATAATTAATTTTATATAATTTCAACATGATTAATATCCACTGTTCAAAGTAACGCAACCAACAAAAATTAGATTCCTTAAGAAAAAAATTACATTTTTTTCAATTTTTACAACTGTTATTAATTACAATTACAAATAAGTATAATTAATTATATAGTATTATAAAAATGTATTAGTAAATTATTTTTTTTTCTATTTCTAAACTACAAAATGTTATTATTCAAATATTTATTATAATATGGCCGAATTGTGATTAATCTATGTTCGGAATCTCTCTAATCTACAGGTACTTGTTAACGAGTGTTATTAAACAAAATCATAATTATAATAAACTTTGAATTAATATTAATATTATTAAAATTAAATTGAGAATATTGATGAATTTTTTGTTGCATATTTATTATTTAATATATGGTATTTATTTTTACTGGAGGATATTTTATATTATGATTTTTTATTATTAATTTTTTTAGTCAAGGTAATTTTCTCTAAATAAATTTTAATATCCCTAATTAACTGATGTAAAATGCATTTCAATTTAATTGAAAAATATGTAAATGATTTGAAAAAATACCTGTATTTTTTTATTACATGTTTTGTTTTTAACGCAAACGCATATAATACGTCATATTTAAATTATAAAATAGTTAAAATTAACTATTTTCTGTAAAAAATATTCCAGTTTGATTTTGTCTCCGATATTTTTTTTTTGGGTTTTATGTAGCTATTGACAATTTTTAAACTATTTCTTTAATTATTATATTAATTTTTAGAAGGTGGTTCGATTTTGGGCTGAAGTAATTGAATTTGCGTTCTCTGGATGTCAGATGCCGATTTTCTAGTATTTTTTTTACCTCTACCTTTTTCAGTTGGCATTTTCTGCCCAGAACTTCTCCTACTAATCGACGAAGGGGCAGAATTTTGTTTTCGTGTATTAAATGGATTTAAGAGAATTTTAGTGGTGTTATCGTAGACCCTGTTATTTTTTTTAGTACTATTTTCACTTGCTAAAGATTTTTGTTTCTCTAAAGAATCTCGTTGCTTTCTCTCAACTCCAAAATATAATTTCTTTTTCATTTCTTCTCGAGATACCTTACCTTTTGGTGGGGCCTTAAATTAAAAAAAAAATTTTATAGAATTAGAATAAATTTTGTTATAGATTTATCACAATTGTATGTATACCATATCAATTTTTAAACCCGATAAAGTAGTCTCAAGACAGTTTTTCAATACCCTTCTAGTTTTTAGTTGACTACCCAGTCTCTTTTGAGCAATTTTCTTTCTAGTGATTTCTGCAGGACTTAAAGATTTTTTTTCTTGTTGGTCATTTTTTGTTTTATCATTACTCTTATCTATGTTAACATTGGTTTTACGTTTATTTCTGTTTTGTGATGTACCAAAAGATATTGATGATCCACTTGATAATTGCATAACATCACTGATATTAGCAGTATTATTATTAGTACTGACGTTATGATAAGATTCTACTTCACTTGACGGTGTCAAAGTATTTATACTATATCCATTTAAATAAACCATTGATGACGTTGAATTATTTAGTTGTGTTCTATTACCAGTATTTATAATATTTTCTGTTGAAATTGAAGATTCTGTTAGAGGACCATCTCTAGTATTTTCAATAACGCTATCGGATAAGTCATCCACAAGTATGTCATTATCAGGCTCTGTTTTAACAATTATTGGCATAATTGGAAAACTGTTTGTTACCCTACGAACTGTCGGAGATATTGGAGTACTATTTGATGCTGTGAAGTTGCTGCTTCGAACACTTGCTGTTTCAACATTTGTTGTTGAGATATTAGTATTATGACGATTATTGATACTTTCCGTATTATTGTTACTACTTGAAGTGGGATTTTTCAAATTTGAATTATTTGGTATTTCACTGTTTGGAACCGAATAATGAGAGGTGATTCCATGTTCAATGAAATATTGTCGAAGTTTAGTATCATTTTCCACAGCTTGACGCTTAAAATTGTAGGCAACATTTAATTGCACAATGCAGAGATCACATATTAATCTAGGTAAATCATCGTTTTCCTCTATCTACAATCAACAATATTAAATTAAATAAAATAATAAAATGAATATGAAAAATTGCAAGAACGATTAATTTTTAATCTTAAAACTATTTCCACTGTTGGGATTATCAGTAGTCTACCTATTTTATTTTTTTTTTAAGAGAAATACAATTATCGAATTTTAAGAATGGAATTACTAATAATAAATTCAAAATGTTATTGTAAAACAATATGAAGTCATTATAAGAAATTCGCAATGTTGAAAAACCTAAGTCCACTTAATTTCCATTTACATATTTTTAAATAAAATTAAATTGATGATAATCCCTGGCTGTTAACCTTGCAAACAGAAGGACTTTACGCACCACTTTCCCAAACAGAATCTAATAACTTGAATAACAATTTTTTAACTGATTCTCTTTATTTCGTTTTATCATGTGTATTACTTACACATTATTTATTTGCCTTTTACTAAATATGTATGTAAACAAATATTTATTTCTAATTCCTTTTTGATCTTGGTCAATTTTTCTAAAATAAGAACAAAAATAAATATCAGAAATACAAATGTACATACAGATTTATAATATATGAATGTATCATTCATACATACAATATATGTAATCATAGTGTAAAAAAGAACTGTAATCTTTCACTAAAAAAAATATAGTTCACATAATATGTACACATGTATGTCATAAATAGAATTTCTTATACACCCTTGATGCAATAGCAGATTGCATTTTTATTGTTGCATAAGGATTCAACCATTTGTTTACTAAGATTCTTTCACACTTTCTTTTACTTCTAATTCGTTCTTGCAATTTTTTTTCTTTTTTTACACATAACACTATCATATGGAAATACCTTCATCATAGTGACATATCGCATTTTTTCTAAAAGCCTTTCGAGTGGACTGTTTGGATCTATATTAGATCGATGAAATATATCACGACTTCCACTAGACATACAAATCCTACAAATTTTACTATAATCATGCATTTTTTTCTTAATTTCTTTATTATCACAATTCTTCAAATAAATATATAATTATTTTTATTTTATTTTAGCACTTGATAGATACTTTCTCGTAAAAGTGCGCAAAAATACACATCATAAGAAATTACCAACAATGAGAAATTTTGGCATTTTTGTTAATTCAATAGACTAAATTTTCCTTAAATTTCCTTTCTCTCATATTAACAATTTAGTTGTCAAAGTTCTCTTTTTGAGATGTTCACAATAATAAATTTTTTAGTACAGAATATCGTTAATTTTCAATACCTGTGTTTACACGACGTCTTCTGCATCAATGTCTGACAAACATTTCATTCCCACATTACGACAAAGGTTATGTTTGAATATACAACAAAATCAAAGACAACATCTACGATTAAGTTTGCAAACTATAAAGCAGAAAAAAAATATCTGATATAGCTTACATTTTACCTAAAAATCTTTGTTCAAGAAAATAAAAAAACTGACATCAAAGTTGTTGAACGAATGTACGTGTAAAAGGATATTTATTTGCCTTAATATAAATTTTAAAATACGTAATTACGATTTCGATATAATGACAATAATGAGTCTAAAAAAATAATATAAATTTATTGATTGCCATTTTGAAAAAAGAAAATGTAATTGCTTTTAATAATACTAAGTTTTCAGTTTTTTCACTGAAACTTCAAATAGTTTATTTAAACAAGACTGGTAGTTTTTTCCACCAAAAAAAGAGGAAATGAAATATTAACGGCGAAGGCTTATTTGTATTAAATTCAAAAATTTCAAATGAATTTTATGACTGCAGGAAATATATTACACATTTCGAAATTCAATTTTTTCAAATAAAAACTCAAAATTGACAATAAATATTTTTAATTAATATTATGGTTTCAGATGCCTTTTTAATCTTATGTACTAAAGTAAAAAGTACTTCAATTATTATAAATCTGGCAGGACTTTATTTTATGTGAGACAAATATATAAGTTGAAAAACGATATTTTAAAAGAGATAGATAGAATGTTAAAATTTAAATTGTCACTTTAGTGGACCTTTGTGAAAATAGAGGTTTTTTTTTGCTTAGAAAATTTTAAATCAGTGATTTTGTAAAACATTTTTATATTTACTATACCAAAAAGTATTTTTAAATAATTAACTAATTGTTGTAAAAAAGGATGAGTGGTAAGTTAAAATATTAATATTTTGAATATAGAGTATTTTTTTAATTGAAATGATAAAAAAGTATGGTTATGTTTAAAATTTTGAATGCCTTATATCTTGTCAAAACGGGATGGGTTACAAAATAAATTTGAATAATATTTTTTTTCTTTTAAAGAGCACAAATTTTAATTCAATATTATTAGAGAATTTTTAAATGGTGACTAAGATAATTAATTTTTTTTGAAAATAAAATAATTTTTAAAAAAGTTTTTCATTAAATATTTTAGTAAAATCTTATCAAAATTTCTGAACAAAATAACTGTGAATAAATACGCAAAAAGAGGTCCCCCATTCGATAAAAGAAATGACGGTGCATAGCATAGCTATAATGGCCAGTCAATGTACTTTAAAAAATTCAAATACATTAATGAAATTTTGTTTAGAGTTCTTACCATAAAAAAAATGTATAAAATTTAATTATTATTTGTTTGTAAAATGAATTTACTTAAAATTTTCATATATAAATGCGTATATTAAAAATAAATTAGATTTAGGGAAAAAAAATATATGGATGGATGTATGTATATATCTACATACATACTCTGTATATATAATATGTAATGTAGATGAATATGTATGTATGTATAATTATATATGTACATACATATGTATATAATAGTACACTTTTCCAAATCCAATTTTGACAGCATATTTTTTTGGCATATTAATGTTAAAAATATAAGTTTTTTAGATTTTTAAGGAAATCATTTGTGTTATTTATGATAATTTCTATTTTCTTTGTTGATTTTTTGCTGTTAGTTCAAAAGCAAAATGAATGTTTTTTTTCTACATTGATCAAACTACTTTGTTGTTAGAAAATAAACAAAGAAGAACGAACATGAAACATTTTTCTGTTTTCTTTTTTTTTTTTTGTTAAATTGTTTATTGAATGAACTTCCATTTTATTAAGATATAATTCTCGCGTCTTAGATGTAGCTATTTCTAATTAACTGTTTCAAAACATATTGTATATGTGTGCATGTAGGTACATAATTAATATTTTATAACTACATTAATTTACATTGTTTCAAAGAAAACCTGGATGTCTCAAAAATTTTTGAGATTGAAATAATTAAAAATTTAAGAGATTTTTAGTTTATTTAAGATCTAAGATGTGATTCATAAAAAAAAAAAAAAAATTATTTTGCTTTGATAGTTGAAATTTGTAACCTACATGTAATACATCCGTAAATTAGTACATATGTATGTATATCTACCTATGTACGTTTGTGAATATACTTATATAACTCTATATGTACATAATATATGCATAAGCATTTACGTTTGTAAGCATTAACAGTTTTCTGAAATTTTTTTTACGAGATCTTGTTAATTTGCTTTACTTTAATAATATCAATAATTTTTATAAAATATATGTATTTTTATTTTACATATTTTAGATTTCTCGTTAAACGTATTATATATATTTCGTGCTGTACATATATGTAACAGTTAAATTGCTACATTATCAAAATAAAATAGATCGAGAATCCGCAGAAACCCAAAACTAATACATAATTGTAATAGCATGACGTACCATACACACATAATGTATGTAAGTTAATTTTTGTCTCAGACACCAATAATAAAGTAAACGTCATAATTTTAATTAGTAGGTCTATTAGTATAGGGTTGTGACATAATGCGTAACATACAGACAATATGTAAATATGTAGAGTTCAATTTTCTGCATAATATAAACATCTACAATTACACTATTTAATAATTTTATTTCAAGGAGCTATTATTAAGATAAATAATAGTAATTTATTTCGAAGTTGCAACCTTGAACGATTCAAAAAGATTTGCTCTTCTTGTCTCAGAAGTAACAAAATCAATCTCTTGCGAACAGAGGGAAGGATGTGATACAATTTCTATTTTTCAATTTTTTATTACGAGTTAATATTTATTTTTAGATTTTAAGTTTCCCATTAAGATTACAAACACCAAAATTTTATAGATATGTATGTGATGTATATATATATACAGATTTCCTTTATAAAATCGGATTCGTTTCAAATTTTTTTTTTTAATTTTTCAAACAAATCGCAGCCTTATTAAAAATATTATACTCTATATTATTTAAAATAAAATTGAAATATTTTTTTGAATGTGCTCTTCTGTATTTTTATTACTTTCAATAATAGAATATTATTTTAAAACGAAAAGTTCTTCATTTCAATACAAAATAAAAAGGAGATACTATTTTATTCATTTTACTGATAAATCTTATGGTGTAAGGACGGAAGAAGGACAAATTATTATTGCTTCCTTTCTATTTTTTTTCGGAAATTTTAATTTTGTTATAGTATTCATCGTTTTAAGAAAATTTTCAATTTAACGTTAGCAGAGACATCTTTTTTGTTTTATTATAGACTTTCTTTAAAAAAAAAACATGTGCTTTTTAATTTGAAAATTATAAAGAGAATAAAATATTTATTAAGAGAATTTAATTCATAAATATCAATCCTATATCCCGACGTAAGAAAAAAAAGATTCTTGGACATTGAGAGAGCAAGTGAGCGATTAAATACTGATTTTATGATTGCGCATAAGATTCCTTTTTACCTCAAAAATATCAAATAACGTCAAAATTTGTAGATTTTTAATAGAAAATATTAAAATTTAATACTTTTGATGCTAAAATTTAATACATACATGCTTTTAACAAATCGATCATATTCTTTCTGTCCAAAATAATAAATAACAATATAAAATTAAGCATAGAATTTTTTTTATGGTATCTAAATACTCAACACATATAAGAATTAAGAATAAAAAGTTCATAGTATAAGAGTTGGTTTTCGTAACTACAAAATCTGAATATACGTATGCACATTCGTACATACATACATATGTGATATATTTCTTAATTTTATATATTTTTTTTAAATTTTCCTCGCATTTTAATCATTTTAAATTAAATTAAATTTTTATTGTACCAAGCAATTTACAGGATGATGATAATCTCTTGAACTTTTATCTTACATATTATAAAAAAAAGGTATTGACTGAGCACAAAACGATTTTTGAAGTTATTAGATAAACTAATTAAATAGTCAACGATCTCAATTCCGTAACTAATCGTAAACTAATTTAATCTTTTATCATTTAGAAAAAAATTATTCCATTCATTTGTTTTAATTTATTAAATAAATTGTAGTTGAGAAAATTAAAATAATAAGAAAGAGAAAAATGAAATCGTACAAACTAACGCGATTTAATTGAACTAATTTATCGTAAAAAATACAGAGATAATAAAAATATAAGAGAAAATTTCATATTTTCATATTACGTAGTTTTCGATTCTCTTTATAATAAAAAAAAAATCAATATTTTCAATTTTTGGTTATGAAGTGGTGAATTGAGAGATTGAGAAACACATATGTATTTTTTTTATTTTTGCTAAAGAGAAGAGATAATAAAAACAAAAATAAATAAAAATGGAAATAAGTGATATTCAAACTTTCTACTTAAAAGGAGAATTTTCAATGAAAAAAAAAAAACACGAAGTAGAAAATAATTTTGTGATTCAATGGTTCCTTTATTTTTTGTTTTTTTTTTTTTTTTGTTGTTTGTGGTTATTTTTTCTATTGGAAAATATTGGGATATTTTATTCTGGAAATGAGTCATCTACTCGCAATTTATTTAAAAATAATTTTAAAATATTTAATTACTACAAAATTTAAACGTAAAAAAATTTGAAAAATTAAAAACATAGTTAATATGTATGTATGAATGTACCTACGTATGTATGTGTAAGAAAAAAAATGAAATTAGATTTTAAATTTATTTAATTCCTATTTTCTAAAATTGCTTGATTTTTCTTGAATTATTAAAAAAATTAGGGTCCTACAACTCATAAAAATTAAAATAATGAAAAATTAAAACAGAAGAGCGCA